CGTTCTCTACAATCAGCTTATATATTACTTTACCTCCCCCATTTGATTAGATTTGATTATAGACTTACTGAAAATCCTAACACCTTTTCTGTTGCAAATCTTCCCACAGAATCTCAAATATAAGATTTAAAGCAAGTTTTCTGTTTTTATAAGACATTTAATATCTTCTGACACATGCACAGATTGAGAATTTCCTATGTGTACAGCTGTTGTGCTCATATTTATTTATTTCTTAAAACTTGCAAAGATATCTTGTCATTTTCAGGCATAGAAATACAGTTCAGCAAGTGTTTGTATAGTATGAGGGTCTTGACGACACAAATGGTTCACCTTGTGCTAATGCTGTTGGTAGGTGATAAAGTCCACATTTGGAGGATATCACTTCAAGAATAGTAAAAGTATGTTACATTTAGAGAGGCAGCAACATTTATGATATTTACATTGAACGTGCAAATGGACAAAATCTGCCAGATTTTTAATAATTTTTAATCTGATTGTTCTAGATCAGTCTGAGTTGAAGGAGAAAAAGAACTAGGAATTAATTTACTCCTCTGATATTGCACCATTGATTGAATTCTGTGCTATAACAGAATTTCTAGACATATTTTATTTAAGCTTTATCTACAGAATTATTTACATATATACACATACATAAATATTTGTGTTATGATACTCAATATATTTTAACATGAGGATGCTATGATGTTTTGTAGGTGTTCTGCATGTTTATATTATAAAGAATTTTAAAGCTAGGTAAGTTAGAATAATGCCAAAGGCTAGCAAATCATTTTATATTTGGATATTTTAGGCTTAACGTAAAATCTTCTTTATCTCCTCCTAAATGGCAGACCTCACTCTATATTTTGTATTAGTTCCTATCCTCTGAAAAACTGGTTATAGAATATATTATATTATAACCTATTAAATAATAAATCTATTATCTATCAAATAAATCTACTATCTCATAAATCTATCATCTATTAAATAAATTACTATCTATTAAATCATAAATATCTATTAAACACCAGGTAAGATATTATGTTAATAAAGTAATGTGAAGGTCATTCCATTTCATGATTAATTTAGTATATTTTGGAACATGTTATATTTAATTGAGTTGTAGTATTTCAATATAGTATTAGATTTTCAGCTTGTGACCTATGGGCACTCGCAGTTTTCTTGCACAGTGTCTGCAAGCATAACCAAGAAAAGCAAGCTTATTTTCAAGAGGCACAGATTTTCACAGCACTGAGATCTGTAGCTCGCTTTGGAAACTTGTATCAGTCTACAAATCAAAGGAAGTGGAAAACTTCTGTGTTAGAGCACACCTGATGGTACGAGTGATACAAAAATACAACCTATTTATAAGCTGAAGGAAAGAGCAGATGACTTTGTGTGTGCTGTTTCAAAGCAGGAGTAGAAAAAGTGGAGGCCAGCTATTGTAGGCTTCTGTCAAACTTTTGAAGCTTGTGGCAGTGTTTTTAACACTTCACATTGCTTAGGTTTCAGGGTTCCTCAAGGGTCTTTATAGCAGATGGGGAGAAAAAAATAATCTATCTATCTGCCATGTTATACTGTACAAACAGATTGTGAAGAGGTAAGCACACTAAACTTAGTTTTACACCATTTAGAATGCCCTTATTTTCTGCTTGAGAAGATCTGGTGCTAAAAGGCAGCTTTATCCTTGCATTGCATATATATCTGCATGCTTGTGCAAAAGTGAATGCAAAGTGGCCGATGTGACATAATAGCAAGTGAGAATGACAATTTTGTCCAGCTTTGACTTTCTTATTAGTATGGATGGCTATACAGCAAACTAGAAGAAAGGTTACTATGTCCATATGTTTGTTTCATTTCACCAAACTCATTCCATTAGTGCTATGAAAGATACTATATCTTCCTAACATTTTTATAAGGTGGAAGGTAGAAAGCTCTTACGTAGCGGGCTAAATATACATATATCAATTTTATAAAAAAAGTTACTTAACCACACACGTACACACACACATGCAGAAGATTCCTTAATCAGAGAAAAATTAATCTGTCAATCACATTGCACTGCCAGTGGTAAACAAATGTCTCATTTAGTAAAAGACGAGAAAGTATTTAAAAGCAGGTGGCAGAGAAATAGTGTTACATTGGCTCATGCTGTCAAATCAGCATTAAAATATCATCACAGTACTTTCATTTTTTAGACTTTTAAGTTAATTTCTGTGTATGTTTAGTAAGGAGATTAAAATCAAGAAAAGTAGCTATTTCTGGTGATGTGCAGCTCACCTGAATGACTTAGTCACCTGGGTTCCCTCCTGATAGTGAGTAAAGAGAAATAAACATTTCTAGAATTGTGCAGTTCAATCAGTCTATTTTAGGCAACTATTTGAGGATTAGATTAATCATATCATGTAAGTGACTCTGAAAGGAAATTCAGACAACTGGTTTAGCTATTAGATATTAGACAACTGGCTGTTTTACATTGTAGTTACCAAGAGCTAGTTAAAATGCCACTCCTTTTGTCTGAAAACTGAGCATGTTCATTTCTTTTCTACAACAAAGTTAAATTGGAAGGATGTGTAAAAGTTTAGCACACTTGTTTAGTAACAGAGTAATGCTAAATTTCTATAATGCATTTGCATTTGTAGTTGGTGATTTCCATTTTCTGAAGATAACTTGTGATTATATGTACTCTTTCTGACACATAGGCTAAACTTCTGCTTGTAAACTGAACATTGTGAGGGAATTAGTATGAGGGCTGAAATGTAGTTGTCTCTATTGCTGAAATGTTAGGATCAGTCCTAGCATGGTTTTAGTTTGGGCCTTCTAGCACTCTCAAGCAATCTTGGGCAATTTAATAGACAATATGAGTAAAAACCATGGCCAGTAGAAAACTATTGCCAGTTGGTGGCTTAGGGATAACCCTACTCTTCTTGGAGATTAAGAGAATTTAAGATTATAGTTTTGGTCAGAGCATGCTAGTAGGTTTACAGGTCCTGACATTCTTTACTCTAGAAGCATAAAGATACCGGTTCTGCGTGATTGATAGAATAACTTTTTTGGGGATGAGATTTCTTTCCTATATGTTCAAAATTCTGACCAAGGTTTTGGGGGATGAGATTTCTTTCCTGTAATGTTCCTGATATGTTCAAAATTCTGACCAAGGTTTTATATAAAGAATTTAGGCTCTCTTTACAGTAAATAGGAAAAAATAAATACCTTCTGGAGAGCAGCTCTGCGGAGAAAGACCTGGGTGTCATGGTGGACAACAAGCTGACCATGAGGCAGCAGTGTGCCCTCGTGGCCAAGGCGGCCAATGGGATCCTGGGGTACATTAAGAAGAGTGTCTCCAGCAGGTCGAGGGAGGTGATTCTGCCCCTCTACTCAGCCCTGGTGAGGCCACATCTGGAGTATTGTGTCCAGTTCTGGGCCCCACAGTACAAGAGGGATGTGGAGCTGCTGGAGAGAGTCCAGCGCAGGGCCACAAGGATGATCAGGGGCCTGGAACATCTGCCCTATGAGGAGAGGCTGAGGGAGCTGGGCCTGTTCAGCCTGGAGAAGAGAAGCCTGAGAGGGGATCTAATCAGTGTCTATAAGTACCTCAAGGGAGGGAGTGAAGAGGATGATGCTGGTCTCTTTTCAGTGGTGGCCACCAACAGAACTAGAGGTAATGGCCACAAACTGAAACACCAAAAGTTCCACAGGAACTTAAGGAAAAATTTCTTAACAGTGAGGATGACAGAGCACTGGAACAGGCTGCCCAGAGAGGTTGTGGAGTCTCCTTCTCTGGAGATCTTCAAAACCCACTTGGACGCAGTCCTGTGCCACGTGCTCTAGGTGACCCTGCATGTACAGGGGGGTTGGACTAGATGATCTCTAGAGGTCCCTTCCAACCTTAAGCATTCTATGATTCTATGATTCCATAGGATGATTTGGCTGACTTCTAAGAGTTGATTTGTCCTTTAGAGACTTGTATTTCTCTATTGACTATGAAAGTAGCCTAAGTAGCTCAAAGTTACCCTTTCATGTTTAGAAGCAGGGTTAGAAAAGGTGAAACCCAGCCTTTGAGTCCAAATTGTGAAAATAATAAGTTTGATGATATCATTACAAGTGAAATAGGATTACTTCTTTGTGATTTGGAGGTACATGATTCAGAAATCCAAACTATACTATGTTAAAAAAAAAACAAAAAAACAAACAAACAAAAAAATAAAAACCAATATCCTTCCTTATGTCACTACACCATGAACAAAATGACAATTTCTGTCAAGTTCTGTTGATTTATTTGTGAGATTCACAGGACAGTTGCACACAAACCTCAAAATTATGCATGATCATAAATCAGTTGGTATAGTATATTTAGTTAAGGTAATGGAATTTGAACAGAAATGCTAAGAAAAAAATATCTTCTGTTTTCAGAGGACTCACTTGTAAGATAGATTCAGCTTTTTTGCAGAAGGAAAAACAAGGTGTTAGATACTCTCTCATTTTTCCAGGAGAACGCTACTTGAAAATGTTCGTAAGGATATTTCTTCATATGGATTAGAGAAGAAACCGTAGCATGCTGTCTTGATACTCGCATGGATGAAGTGATCTCTGTGTTTCCTTAAATTCCCTATATGGCCTATGGTCTGTGGCTTGGGTATGGAGATTAGCTCTCACTAAGTGCTAGTTATAGGACTGATATCACTTCCTTTCCCGTGAGTAAAGAAGACTACAACAGTAGAAGAATTGTAAAGTAAAAAATTTCTTGCTGAGCTTTTAAAGCAGTGCAGATAATATCCTTCCTTCATTAATGTCATAATCCAGTATCAAGGGAATAGTTAGTTCTTTCTCTTTCAGTTTCCAGTATTCCCATATTATATGCAGTTTATCTCTAGTCACTGTGGACACATCTAATCTACCTGAATCATGAGAATATAATTGGGTTGCAGTTCACTAACATTATATTTTGTTTGATATTTTGCTCTGTGTCTTTTCTTCTTTTTCCTCTCCATTTCTGTTTGCAGGTTTTGATCTAGTGAAGTGTGAAGATCCTGGCATACCGAATTATGGCTACAAAATTCGAGATGAAGGACATTTTATAGACACTGTCATTTTATACAGCTGTAATCCTGGCTATGCAATGCATGGTAGTGGTATTATGACCTGTTTAAGTGGAGACAGAAGAGTCTGGGACAAACCTTTGCCAACTTGCATAGGTAATATGGATTGAGGCAGTGAAAGGTTTTTTGTTGTTGTTTGTTTTGTTTTTTGGTCATTTTAAGTGTCTATTTCATCTGTTGTGTAGATTTAATCTATGGTTTAAATTTTAAGTTAAGATATGCTGGGGACATTCATTTATAATATGCCTCACTATGAAATGCATTGCTGACTAGCAGTGGCTAAAAAAAACTTTTGGGTAAGGGTTCTGTTTACATTGAACTAATATATATATATTGTGTATTCACAAGTATAGGAAAAATGTATGTATGTCCTTCGCTGATACCTGTTCTCATAAACTCTTAAACTCCCTTCCATGCCTCCGGTTTTCCAGCACCAAACACTTTAACTGATAATAAAATTAATGAATCACTTAGTTTTCACTAGGATTAAAGTACTTTTTAAAAAAAAAAGTTTGTTAATTTGCTACTGCTTTTGTTCAGATGATATCCCAGATCTGGGATGTTCTCACAGGCAGTAATAATAAATCAACTAGAAATTATTTGAGAATCTCATTAATATGAAGTTAATTTCTATTTTCTGTCCTACACTAGTGAATTATTTGGTTTACTTGCTCAGGAGTCGCTATTGCCGCAGTAGAATATCCGGTATATCAGACTTTAGAGGTAGACTGTTTCTTAAAACACTACATCTTCAAATCTCTGAAAATTTGTTTCATTACAAACAACCCAAATATTAAATGGAGAAATACTGAGACACACCAAAATAACTGAAAACCAGTACAGCTCACTATACCACTACAAGACAGTTTCTTTCACTTCTTCTTTCCAACCCAGCAATTTTCAGTGACTTTGAGGCGTTCAGCAAACTTCACATGCAGCTCCCCTGAGAGCTGGGAAAGTAATTCTGTGTGACTTCTGAAGCTTAAGGTTTTGTTGTTGTTGTTGTTGTTTTTTTCCTTTGCCAGCCACAGGCAGTGCACCAAAAATCTCAAGATTCTCACCTGGCCTGCAGCATCCCTGCTTGTTACCTCTCCCCTATACTGGGTGCTGCATTGTCTGTCATGGAGCTTCCTTCTGCTGAACACATTCACAGACTTGCAGTCTGTAAAAGAACAAGCTCTCTTCCTTTCAAAGATTCACCTTAGTGAGAAGGTGGGAGCCAGAATAACATCAGTGGATGGCATTTCTGCTATCAGTAGACAGTTTTATTTCCCAGTTGCTTCTGGAACTATATCTGTTTTATCTGTTATATCTGTTATTGTCTATATGTATTATAGGTCAGAACATCTCCTCACAGTTTTGATTTAAAGAAATCCCAGACTTTTTCTACGTTCAAGTCCTCAATTGAATTGAGTAGCCTTCTTTTCTCTTAAAAGGTTTCCCTTTTGTAGCAGAGAGACGTAATTAGACCTTGAGTATCCTTGAGTATCTGGTTTTGCAATTGCATTATCAAGTATGTTTTCTGCATATTTTTTTGCTGTTTCAGGAATCACTGTACTAAAATCTATTATTTCTTGAGGATCTCACTTCATGTTTTACTGGAATTCTGCCCTGCTGTTAACAGAATCATATATATATATATATATTTTTCCTTTCAACAATTGGCAACACCATGGTTGAAAAGACAAAAAGCAAGAAAAAACTCTACATACCTTGTGCATACATCTGAATGCAGTTTTTTACTTGCTGTCCTTTTTTGAATCTTTAAAATGAGATTGGGGGTGGTCTATTTTGTATAATCTCCTTCTTCCCATTTCTTAATGAAACTTTTCTGAAACACATTAAATAGCTAATCAAATGTTGACTATTTGCTTTCTGACAATGTAAAGTTTTCACAGCTAGTCTGTTAATTTCAGTAGCTTATTGCTGTGTTTCCTACCTTTCTGTGCTCAGGAAAATGTCTTATGAAGATCCCTGAAAACTCGATTAATCTTTGACAGATCATTTCATTCTTGGCTTTGAGTTCTACAGATATCATCTTCTTTTCTTTCTTCAGGTTTATCCTGTGCTATCTTAGTTATATATCCTTTTCTGTGTCGATCTGACAGGCTTCTGCTTTTCTCATTTCTCAATTCTATCCTCTGCATAAGAACTGTATGGTTCTATGGCCTTACTGTCCACTTTTAAAGATCAGTCTTACATGGTGTTCCAGATGGGCTCGGGATTCGGCAATAATCATGCCAGAACAAGGTGACTACATCGAGCATTTATTCAGGTGATAGCACATAAAAGAAGCAAAGAAAATGCTAAAAGAAAAGGGATAACTACTCATGAGGTGATACCTGCCAGCGGGATACTGGGCCCGAACATCCTCTCGAGCTGTCAGATCAGAGAGAGAGAGTTGCTGACCGGCTCCCACAGAGTCAGCACAGGCCTCAGAGTTGGGAGTTTCTCCTCCCCTCGCTCTCTCCGCACTGTCCTCTCTATGCCCGGTGCATCCTGGCACGTAGGGTCAGTCCGACCCAGGAGGCAGCCCGGGGGGCGGACAAACTCCACCTCTAGTTGCACAACTCTCCCCCCAGGTGCGCAGGTGTGCACACCAGTCGGGGGTCCCAGCCCCCAATTCGGAGGTCCTGCCTTCCTCCTCTTCTTCCTCATTTCTGGGTGTTTGGTCTCCAAAGCTAGTTTGGAGGACGTCTGCGGTTAAGTTGGCTACAAGCCCGGCCAAGCGGCCGGCTTCAACAGGTTTCCCGGTGGGGCTGCCTGTGAACCGGGCTGAGCAGCTGCATCCGTGTTCCTTATCACTCAGCCTAGGCAAGCAGACATCTTCTTTCTCAAGGTCTGGCCTCTGCTTCTCACAGGAGACTTTTATGACTCTACATATCACAGAAATTTCCATCTCCAATACACATGGGTGCACATACGCTTCCAAAAGACTGCTTTCTTACCTCGACTCACTTTCATTCATTGTACTTAGGGTTCCAGAGGAGTCTTTTTTTTTTCTTTTTTTTTTTTTTGTCTTTTTCACGTATTATGTCTTATATCAACATTTGATACTTGCTGCTGTCTTCAGTGACATGTACAATGTCTACAGTGACATTTATTAAATCATCTTTTCAGTCAGTTCAACTTCATTGGTAAAACATTCCAAGGCCATAGATAGACAGGTTCCGCATTTCCTGCACTCAACCATTTTACCGATACACTGCTATATTGGTCTTAGCATTTCTTTTCATCCTTTTTTCTTTGTTCCAATCCTTAATGAAGAAAAGGCAATTCCTCCAATTTGTCTGAGGTTCTTTTGCAATTTTTTTTTTTAAAAAGTCTTTTGCTCAGATCAGCCCTGCCATTCATTAAAGGTTAGTGCCTAATTTTTAGTTACTACTTTTCTCTTAGCCTTGATCAAAAGAAGAAAGCATTATGCCTGAGTCATTTTATGCAATCTCATAAAGGCATTGCAAACAACTGGAAAAAAAAAAAGATTCTCTTCTGAAGGAGCTTATTCTTGAAGAGCTTCTTCTGCAAGTTCCTTTAGATTGGCAGCTGATTTCTATGAGTCTCTTGCTTAAGACATTCATCATTCAACACATTCATTTGGCAAAATTTCTTGACTTTCTGTTATAGTCTATCTTTTAGAGTTACAATTTACAATTAAAAAAAGAAACAAGCAAAAGAACCTAATCACCTGTCAATCTCTTCTTAAGGTAATACTTTATGTAGTGTTTTCTTTGAGATAATGCACATTTACTGCATGTTGAAAAAATACTTTTTTATTATTATTTATTTTATTTTTTGGATAGAGTCACTCCAAAAAACTTACTTCTCATTTGCTTCTGAAGTGATTTTTTTTTTTGATATGTAGTATCTAATGCATCTTTGTGAAGTCTACATCATATATTTCTTTTCTGAAGAGGTCTTCTGGGAATTTAAAAGCCAGTTAATTTGAGTTAAAAAGAATCTGTCTATTCTGAGTGCTTTGGTAAACACAGTAATTATCTCAGTATATTTTTTTTCTTAAGCTCAGATCTCTTTCAAGGGGATTATTGCAGTCAGAATTTTCCTACAAAATCAAAATTAGCTGAAATTTTAAGTAAAGGTTATATTTGAAGAACTTATGTTGAAAAGTAGCTAAATCGTTTATAATTTTATCTTTCTGCTGTGGTTCTATAAATCACATTTAGTGAGTGACTATAATGGCAGGGTAGGTAAGTAAATCAATCATCTTATTTCCCCTACAGTTATTTTCCTTCCTTGTAACACCTTGGTTGTCAGCAGTGTCTCAGTGGCATATGGAAGGCCGATTATTTGTCAAGGGTTGTTACTGGCAAATCATCTGGTCCCACTGCCATTCTTCTTTCATTGTTATGTGTCTTATGCTCTCAGATAACAGTGAACAAAGCATTCCCATGGCAGTGCTTTTTAACTTCAATACTGGTCACACTGTTAAGGTAACTAAAGTAGGAGTTCAGGGACATCACTTGACTGTGGAGTCAATGATACACTGCCTCAGTGGTAACTGATTTTGCTACACAAGAGTTTCACCAGCTTATCTCCTTAAACTGGCAAGTTGATTGCATGTTACTCTAAATAAGCCTAGTAAGCTTGATCTGATTCTGGATGCTTTGTGCTGCAGTAACGTGTCTACACAAAGAGAACGTAGTTATGATAAAAAATGTTGAAAATGAGGTAGTGCATACTTTCAAATCATAGCTTTCTGATTTATTCTCTCACTTGGTGGGCATATGGCATTTAAATATTTAAATACCTAAGGAATTTACTGGGCAAAACCAAACTGTTTTATGATGGAATTAAGCTTGAAGGCATGTATAACAACTTGAAAGCATGAAACAAAAAGCACTTGGAAATAAGAAAAATAGAAAAAAACGTTTGAATTTCAAAACCAAACTGCATGAACTCTTAATTTCAGCATTCAGTGGTAGTTTAAGAAGACAAATATACTAGATAAAATATCTTTGAGATCTTTAAACATGCTTTTTATCCTTTATTGATGATAAAAGTGTGCTTTCCTAGTCTCAGTTTATCTAAGTGTTTCTTTTTGTTCAGTAAAATACCTTAATCACAAACCATGTTTTTTTTATTATTTTTATTTTTATTTTTATTTTTTTACTTAATGACAGGGCAACAATGAAGTCTTTTGTATGCGCATTTTTAAATCATGCACATATTTTGGTTTGTATGTATATGTTCTGGTTTATAGCATTGTTTCAGAGACAAGCAAATATTTTACCTTTTTAGAAGACAGATGTGAAGCAGAGAGAAAAAAAGTGAAGTGCAAAATACTATGGTCTTACAAAAAATAAACAGTAAAATCCTTATTTATTTTGTAGCTGAGTGTGGTGGTCGAATTCATGCTGCTACATCGGGGCGCATTTTGTCTCCAGGTTACCCAGCACCATATGACAATAATCTTCATTGTACTTGGATTATTGAAGCAGATCCAGGAAAGACAATAAGGTACATAATTAATTAAGTCAATTCTATTGTTGATTTCATTGTTTTGTAAATTATATTCTCTGCCTAAGCTACTCATCTTTTCTCCACTATTTTATGTTTATTAACTACTTCATACATTAATAAAGCGGATGTTTGTTTTGCTGTGTTGTTCCTCTGTGGAACCTGGGTGTCTACATTGTACAAAAGACAGCTAGGCATCTAACTTAGAACTGTCAATTGCATTAGATAATACGGCTTGTGGTAGAGTTGTACTGCTATGCCTTTTTCTAATTGTCAACCAGCTAAAACATTAAGATGTCGTGTGGCTTCAGATTTCTTCCTCTGTGATGCCATTTTTTAATATATCTTACTGCAACAATGCAATGACCTTCAAGGCAATAATTAGTAGCCCTTCATTGTACTGTAAGTATAGAATATAATTAATCAACACTTTCTTTTTTTAAAAAAGATCCCTCAAGAAAGCATGAAGTGCAAGATTGTCTGCTAGGAGTGTGATTGCACAGGGACTTGGAACTTGCTGAGTATCTAATAGAAGTGCTTTTTGGTCATGAATGATTTGATCTGATAAGGGTTTAACAGTTAGCATCAGCCAGAGATTAGCACTATAAAGCCTTATATACAGCTCTGAAGGGTTTTCATTTATCATTACTGCTCCCTTCTTTTATAGCGTATACTGCATTCTGAAGTATGTAACATACACTTTGTGTATGTGACTGAAGTATGTAAGTTACAATGTATGTAAGTTTCTTATAAGCAGGTGAATGGTAAGGCCAACAACATTTCAGAAGACTTTGGAAGTAAACATGAACAGATATAAGCGAATACTTAATAGTTATCTATTAAGATTAGATTAGGACTAGAAGATTTCTCCAGACAATAGGAAAGGGAAGAAATTAGAAGATTACAGAATATGAGGGAAACACAGGTAGTGCCTAATTTATCAAAAAAGGTAGACATAATAACCGTTAGGATGGAATCAAGAGCTTTTATTTCTATAATAATTTAAGGGATTGAATCCCGTATAGAGGGATTCAAGAACTCCAGCTGAAGGAAGTTAGTAATGCACAAAGAGAACTTTAAAACAGTCTTCAATTTGTCATATTAGCATGAAAAAAATAGCTAAATCACTCAAAGAGTGAAAGGAGTATCAATAATTAAAGCTTGTTTCATCTCATCTTTCCTGCAGATACTTGCAGGAAATAATGCAAATGTTTCTTCCTGGTGAAAAAAACAATGTAGCAAAAATGTTAAATATTATTCTAATCAAAATAGATTATCTTAATTTCAGTGGAGAATTTCTTGAAACTTCCATATTTAATGATAGGCAACAGAGATTAGTTTCTTACTGCAATGGAAGAAAAATACGTGTAATGTCCCCGAACAGTATTTCTTCAGAATATTATCTCTTTGAGCAAAAGGTAAACAAATACTAAACTCTTTCAATAATCAATTTATGCGAACAACCATTTTAACTGATCATCAAGATGCACTATCAATTCAAGTCCATTCACTGAAAGTTATTTTCCCTTTTTTTTTTTTTTTTTTTGAGTGATTCTGTTTCACTAGACCAAATAATGAATTTGTTCCATCACAGGAGAATTCAATTGGTTATTTTTATTTGAAGGACAAATATGAAATTAATGATGAATAAAACAAAGAAATATCAACATGGTGGTAATTACTTACTAGATTTTTTCAGAATTAAAAACATAAGCAACAACCAGAACTTGAAGGCACTGCCAGTATTTTGAATACAAAGATTACATTGTTCAATCTAATATTTTAAATGGAGATAAATACAGATTAGAGTATTCCATTTCAGTCCCGTTACAGTTTATGAATTTTGGCAGAAGGCAAAGGTGGGAAAAGATTTTTTTATGTATACATATATATATATATATACAGGGAAAAAAAAAGGCAAAACTTACAGAAATTCCTGGGCTATACATACTAACATCTAGTAGAAGACAAATGGTGATCAGAAAGAATGTCATTTTCTTCTAATCCGTTCAGTTCAGTTAATTTTAAACAGTTAGTAGCTTTGGCATCTGTATTTGTATAACTAGAGGAAAACTTTCATCACATCATAGTTCTTAACCCTTAAAATATCTCTGATAAAAACAATTAATAGAACAAGTGTGATATATCATAGTGGATTTTGCAGTTGCAATGTAAAGAGGACAGAACAGAATCTCTCCTATCAAATCATCTCATCTAACTGGAAAAAAAAAAACTTGTATCACTTCTCAACCACCAGTGTTTCTTCAGAAATAGCATCTCCAAATTTAGAACAATTTGGGAATGATTGCTCGGACTTTTATGTAATTATGTTTCATGAGTAACCCTTTTTTTAATCTTTTAATATTTTGCAGTCTGCATTTTATTGTTTTTGACACTGAGGTTGCTCATGACATCTTGAAGGTATGGGATGGGCCTGTTGAGAGCAGCATATTGCTGAAAGAATGGAGTGGCTCAGCTCTTCCGGAGGATATTCACAGCACTTTCAACTCGTTGACATTACAATTTGACAGTGACTTCTTTATCAGCAAATCAGGCTTTTCCATTCAGTTCTCAAGTATGTATATTGTTTTTCATCTCAAATACACTCAGTTTTTATTCCAGTATACAAGAATTACTTGCTTTTTTATCTTAAAACTTCTATACTCATTACAAAAATATTAGTGTAATTATTACATGTATTTATGCTAAACAGATACTATTAGGATTTGTTTGGATTTCCTTTGTATCTTCAAGATTTCTTAGTCCTTAATTTACACAGCAACCTCACTATTATTTTATTATTACTTATTTACAAAACCAGATGGATTTGTACATGCAAAAATTTTCTTTTGAACTGATACTTTTATATAATCTTCCCAGTACTACATAATGATATCTTAACTCCTATGTGTTTGTATTTTGTTTTTCTTTTTTTAATCACTACATTGGTTGCATATTGGATCATTTTTATGATTTCAGCAATTTGTGTGTACACAGTTAAACCAAGGAAAAAAGAATAGCATAAATCTGTCCTTTTTCAAAAACCTTAAAAGATTTACTGCTAAGTTAATCAAATAATTTCAAGTTTCATCTTCAGGTCTAAAGTAAAAGCATGTCTGTACACAGAATAATGTGATCAATATGGTAAAACTTGAGTATGTGGGATTTTTATGTTGTACTGTGATTGAAGTCTTAAAGACTGTAGGTTGGACTGCAGAGAGACTATATCACTGTCTTTGATTCAGTCATTGTATCTTTATATATTTATGTTTATGTAAGGGCATATCTATTCAGGAATGTAGGAAAAGGAAGATGAATTAATAAAAGGAAGTGAACCTAAGTGTCTTATTTCAGTATCCCTAATGGCACTAATAAGCTGCCAGTCCTGTTATTTCTCAATGAGGATATCTACTCACCATTACTGAGAAAAGACCAGGGGGGTTGCTGTTCTCTAATGCATTTTAATTTAGCAGCTTACGTCATTAAGTTTATTTTTTTCTGGATATTGTGAAAAAAAGAGTGTGATGAGATATTGAAAGTTTTAAAGTATCAACTAAATAATAAGAGCAGATTTTTTTTTGGGGGGGGTGGAATTGCTGATGTATGCTAATACTGCTTTTCAAGCTGTATGTACATATGTGTTGAAAGCCTATCAGTTAATCTATAAATTAAGCAAGGAAGAAAATGTGTAATTTGCTAGACTCATCAACATAATTAGTGAAGTATATTCTTTTGAACGTTGGTGATGCCTATAGTAAATAGGAGAAAGGGAAATGCTCTAAAGAGTGAAGAACTGATTTTGTCAGCCTATTGTAACACCTGATGGATCTGTTCAGGGATCATAATGGCCAATTGCAGTGTTTGTCTAACTTGGATTATTAGGAATTAGTGGTAAGGAACTGAATTTCTTAGCTCAAATTGAAGAAAAATTATAAAAGAAATTCGGGTCACGCTGCTTGGTAAGTGTAGTGTTGTAATGTTTTATTTTTTTAATTGTAAAAAAAAAAAAAAACTCAGTGCAGACAATGGGCAATGAACTACAGATATATGAGAATCTTTGCATGCTCTGCATTCATCATGTATTCAATCTGTATGTCAGCTTAGGACAAAGCTGCACAAATTATTTTCAATAATTTGTTGAATTATTGAAATTATTGAAAATAATTTATGCAGCTTTGCCCTAAACTGACATACAGCTTGAATATTAAAAATAATTTGTGGAAATTCCAGAAAATGTAATGATTTATTGCAAGTTCTCTTAAGATAACTGCTCAAGTTTTGAATCCTTATGTCATTTTTAAAGTATTTTCAGTGATGTACTTATTAAGGAATATATTTTATTTAAACATGAGCTAAAAAAAAAAAAAGAAAGAAACTGGAATGCCCATATTACATATACCTAGAAAGAGAAGTGCTGTGAAAGGATAGGGTAAGAACAGAGACAAAATGATGAATCACATACTCAGGACGAGACTTGATAGATCAGAAAATATTGCCTATGAATTGCTCTAGTTTATTGTATATGTAGGTAGAAATGCTTTAAAAAAAAAATGGCTGAAGCTCAAATAATGTTTAGACAATATTAAAAGTCCATTTTCTTGCCCACTCAGCTCAGCATGTAGAACACGAGGACACTAACTGAGTAGAGCGTTTATGTTAATTGCAGTCAGCCTAATGCTTTTCATTAAAACTTAATTACCATTTAATCATGCATAAAAGGACAAAAATGGAGTTCATTGTACAAAATTGACCTTTACTCTGGGGGTTAAGTGCATTTAAACTATGTATAACAAGCTAGGGATGTCAACCTACTCTTTCTTGTCAAGATATAGAATGTGAGCACAGGGCGGGTCTTGCAAATTTGATACCTGCTTCTTTTTTTTCCCTAGATAGCCCAATTACTGGCAGTAACCTAACCTTGCTTAGTTCTGTCCTGAGTGTCTAAGGTAAATGGGATAAGTTTCCTTTTTTCCCTTGGAAAATATATATATAAAAAAATATATATTATATATATACGCATATATATATATAAAATCAGCTATAGGTCTAGTTACTCCAAAAATATTATTCTAATATTTAGTCTGCAGACTAAATCTGAAACTTCTAGACATCTAAATCTAGCTGAAATTAATCCTAGTATTAATCCTAGTCTAAAATTATGACTTGGTTTCCAGTTTTTAGTCCATTTGAGATGCCTCAGGGTAATCTGCTCGGTCTCCATCTACCAGTGTAGAAGGTTACAGCCCTTAGGTCATATCTGCTAGTCGCGTGTAGGTATTTTGGCTACTGCAGGGCACCTTAAATGAGTCTAGTTACTGTGTTGAAACAGGTCAGTGATGTCTTAAATTTAATCTTCAGCTCCTCTGGACTTCTGAAAGCACTTGCATCCTATGCTAGTCAGTGGTTCATTGTTCTTTATTAACCTGTACATTCTGAAATTTATTTTATTGAGAACTTGCTTATATCTAACTATGCAGTTTGTTTATTTGGGGTTTAATGAAACCAGTAGATGTGGCATAGGAAAGGAACAGCACTGTCAGAGACTTTCTAGGCAGATTACCATTTGTACAGACTCAGCCTCATTTTAACAATACCTAATGATTATACCATAACAGTCAAGACTTTTTTCCTTTGAATTAAATTCTTAATTGTTATAATTTGAGAAACCTGCACCTTTTTTTTTTTGCACTAAATGATGCATTTATAGTTCCTCATTTGGTTTCATAGATTTTGTCCTTCGAGAGTACAATGCATCAGGTTTTTATTTTCACCTGTGTCATAATGAATTTTTTTTTATACTTCTAGAGTCAGACCCATCTGTGATAGACCTCTGAATCTATGGAATTGTTAATTTTTCTCTCTCATAGCTTCTTTAAGCATATAATTCAATTAACAATATTCCTATTTCTGCCTTCATGTACAGGAATGTATTGTGAACTGGAACGTATCTTTTTTTCTTCTTTTTGCTAATGCAGAGTAACTAGCAAAAAAGCACTTTTTAAAAAAGATTTCTATCTTACTAGAGCAACTGTAGCCATTCATTTTATTAATCAGAAAATATTAAACAGGAAATATGAAATGATGGCAATTCTGTGCTTGGTTTAGCCTGGCTTGCTTTGTGTTTGTTTGTTTATTTGTTTCTGTTGTCTCCTTGCTTGCCCCAGCTTTGCCCAAATTTGCTGTGATTCCTGACTAAATCTTTAACTTAACAACATAAGACATCAATTATATTAATTGATATTAATTAATTAATATTAATATCAATTGATAAGACATCTATAATAAAATAAACAGCTCATTCCAGTCAGTTAATTAGAATAATTATTTGGAGGTTATTGTCTCTGATGTTGGCACTTTGGTGTTATCTTCCTTCTTCTGGCAAGAGCATGAGCATCAGTGACTCTGTGTTTCTGCCACCAGGCTCTGTGTTTATGACTGACAAATCTGTTTTTAAGCAGTGGTATCTGCTTATGTCCAGCTTTTGAATTCTATTTGATCGTATGTCTGTCTACAGAAATACTTACCCTAACTGGGCTATATATCTTGACCTTATACTAGGACACTGTTATCTTAGAAATTGTTCTTTTATTGCTCAGACATCTTTTAATTACTTGCTTAATAGTTTGAACTATTACATTTAAGTAGTAGCAGTATTTCCATGACAGTCTTCATTTCCAGGAATTGCATTTTCAGTGCAATTGTTTAAATCTTAGAAACAATTAAATTATTACCATGAAAGAGGAGTTAGCACAAAAATACTTTTAAAAGAAAGTTACACATAATCACATATATGCCTTACTAAGTAACTGAATCTTGAGCTCAGGAAAAATAAAATGCTCTAAGGAATCACTTGCTAAAAGAAATGAATAGTTGGGCACCAGGATTTAAGATTGCCTTTTAAAGTCTGTAACCTAATCATATTTCATAGCTTGGTTTCTCCTCTTGCTTTCTCTCTTTCTATTAATATTGCATTACATGTTCAGAATAATGCAGTGGCATTAAACATGGAAAAAATATTTCTAACAGAAACATTTTTCTGTTTAATTCTCTTAATGTAAGAGGACTGAAGGTCACTATTTTGAAGAAGTAACCTGTCCTTCCAGATTAGCTCTCTAAAAGCAGTTTTTGAGGTTCCCTCATTCATGCTGCCAATTTTAAAAGAAACCCTACCAATGCATTCAGATTTATTGTGGAACTATTTAGAGTCCTTTGCAGAGATCAGTGTTCATTGAGACTTGCTCTGAATATGGTTCAGTAAACTTAGAATGCTAAATTTCATGTGCAGGCAATTCAAATTCTTCGTGCTGTGTCTCAGAATCCTTGATGCAGTACCAGGGCCTCCAGGTTTGAAACCCAACCTTGTGCTGGTGCAAGACCTGGGCTGAGACATAATGGTGAGGTTTCAAGCAGTGCTGTGTGCTACTTCTGCAACATGATGGCTGCAGACACTCGCTGTTTTATGGAGACCAACCAGGGAGTATAAAATGTCTTAATAGCTATATCTTCTGAAAAGGAGGGAGATCTTGAGGAAAACAGCATATAAATAATCTGATATTTATTCATGCAAGCTTCTGTGCTTCCAACTTAATGGAAGAGACTGATCGGTTTTTTGTTGTTGTTTTGTTGTTTTGTTTTTATATTATTAATGCAAGTCTTCTTTGATCATATACTTAAAATCAGTTTGCATAATTATTAGTCTGTACATATATGATGTAAGACATTTGTCAGCAAGCAAATGCTGTATTTTTTCAGTTATGAAACTGTTGGCTGTTTTGAAATAACTGCAAATCCTATAATGTGCAATGTCTGGGCTTGATATACTAACTCAAATCTGTTACTCAAGCAGTTCTCTCAAAACAGGAGGGAACATAGTTTCAATTTAAAAGCGTAATTCCTGGGGTCCTCTTAATTTTAAAAATATGTAGAAAAAGTAGAGAGAAGTGCAGCAAACATTTGTAGCAACTGGTTCACATGGTCGTTTGCCATAGGCATAGTGAAAACAATATTGATGAAGTGATGATTTTTTTTCCTTGAGCTAGAGTGCAGGCTAAACCAACTGGCAAAAATGTTTTCCTTCAGGTGAAAGATAAATTGGGCACAACTCTAATATACTACTCACAAGGTTGCAGACATAAAAATTTACACTGGGTTATGTTCTCAAAAACAGTGTTCCATTGCTTTTCAGTGAAGATTTAAATCAACTTTGAAGATGTAGTTTGGGTACCAAATCCAAATTGAGATGTAAAATAAGATTTTAGAAAATGATCAAATTCTCAGTACAGGAACCCTACCACAAGGCCAGGCATCTTTTCCAACTGTCCATTCTGTGACACTTCTGAGCCAGCTGAGCAGTTGAGAGAGCAGGAGAGGAGAAATTTGTACAGAGTGATACTTTATAATTTGATGAATATCTTATAATTTAGTTCCTAGAGCACATGTGCAAGTACTGGGAAGCACGGAGTTCTTTTTCTAGCCTACTGAGATCCTAGTCCTGTCTCCTGGCTGTGCTACCTTAGGCATCTAAATATTCCCAGCCATTTCTAAAACTAGTATGTAAGATAGATAAAGTTCATCACCATATATTATTACATGGATTTAGAAGAAAAGAAATTGTTTGTGAAATTAGATGGATGACAGAACTGGCAATTTTCAATGTCTGGATTATATATTAATTCATAGAATATGAATTTTGTTTTTTGAGCAATACCAAATGAAGTAATAGTAGACTTCTAATTTTTGTGAAGTTACAGAACCTCTTGGGAAGTGAGAGCTGTAAAGCAACTTGGAAATGAGAAAAGATGAGAAGCTGACAGCCTGTCTAAATGTTCACTTTACTAGATGACACATCGCTACTTAAATGTCTGGTGTTTTGTTTAATTAGAATCTAGTGTATTTGTCATGATGAAAAGGTTGCTAGTCTCAAAGACATAAGATATCTTCCAAGGCTACAAGAACAATAAAGCAAAAAAGAAATAAGAAAAAGAAAAAAAAAGAACAATTTGTGGTTATTACTATGGTTGTCCTTAGAATTTTGAACTTTATATGCAGGAAATGTAGAATAACAACGAAACAAATTTCAAAAGGCATCAGTCCTGTTTGTCTGATGAACACTTGCCTCAGTCAAAAATCCAAGCAAATGATGTGTACTGAGATTTGTATTGCAATACAGCCCTTTAAGAAAAAAGAAAGGAAAACATTCTTTAACAGACATGTACTATAGTAATCTATTTTTAAGAGCAATTATTTTCTGTCAAATAGGAAATTATTTCTCTGGGGTCTTGACCATTCTGTCCTTCCCCTGTAGCCAAGTATATATTTAGTAAAGTGGGCTAATATGAATGGCAGGTAAATTTTCAGAACAGTGCCTAGGGAGTGCTTACACAGTACTCATTAATAGCAAGAGACATCATTACCTGAATTTTTGGACCAAAACTTATGAATTCTGGAGAAAAAAAGTCTACTGCTGACAAACTGCCATACTTGTACTTCAAATAGAAACAGGAAAACTAGCAATGTATGTGAAATACTATATTGCAATGGGTAAAAAAGGTCACAGAATTTAAATAATAAATTGATAAGCTAAACTCTTGCATTAATAGTGTTTCAGTTCTCATAAACCATATATTGTGATAAAGGGATGTTTTAAGTTTCCCGTGCTCCTTCCATGCTTCTTCCTATGCTACTTTGCTGGAGTATCCATAGTACCAATTTAGTATACCATTACCATAATACCATTTTATCGGGCTTCTGTTTTTTTCTTTTTTTGTTTCTTTTTTTATTCATCATTTTTGCAACCTTTCCCTCTTCTGCAAATTCATATATATGCTTCATGTATTACCAATTATCAAGAAGTCCTCTGAGTGTTCTGTGTTCTCCTGAATTTTCAATTCTTGTAACAAAAAAAAAAGTGGATAATGAAAGCTCTAAACTGCCATATTTAAATTTAGATTTAACTTAAATATTGTACTTTTACACAGCATCTTTATAGATAAGAGCTTCCAATTTAATTTCTGAATAACTTCCTATCACCTTTCCTACATTCCTACATCTTTCCCAGTACTTCCAAATACTCAGGGCTTGAAGAAATAAGAATTATAGCAGAACATGAAGGTTTATCAGGTTAGATGAAGTAAGAACAACAGCTATATGATTTCCTAATTTATCTGAGGCTGTTGAGGTACAAAATCTTTCCTGGAAAAGTATAAAATTCTCATGAACGCTCACGCTAGAGCTTGCTGTCTTTAGTTTACTCATGTCATTACTTAAAGCAGTGTGAGATGTGAGAGACGTGAGAGAAGCCGTGAACTGGATATAACCTTTGATGCTACATAATGAAGTTTGAAAGAGATTAGGCCCTTCTATTGGTAATAACAGAAAATGACAAGTATAAAGACACTTTTTTATGCTCTTGGCCTTTTTTTTTTTTGCCTGTAATTTGTAATAACATCCTAAAACCCAAGTGCTAGGTGTGCTGCATATTGCTCAAAATACAGAAAGACGTAGTTGCTGCTTCTCCAGAGTGTGTGATAATGCACAGCCAAAGGACAAGATAAATGATAACAGTAGTTCATTAATCAAGGAAGTGATAAGAAACCAGTTATAACCTTGGCATGTGTGTTTTTAGTAAGTTATATGTTATCTCTGAATGCTCCTCATCGGTCTTACCATCTCTTAACAGCATCAGAGCAATACTATACATTGAAGAGCCATCTTCAGATGAGTTGAGATGGATATGAATCAGTAGAGTTGAGATAGATATGATCACTTTAAGAGAGGTGTCTGATTAATGAGCATGGAAGAAAGTATATAAGTCAACTTATTAGGAGAAAAAAGAAAAAAAAAGAATAAATTGATACTAAAGTTTGACATATTTGAAGGATTATCCCTCATGGGGGATTAGCAGATAGGTGTTGTTTAGACGGGGTTCAAGAAGTTAAAACTTGATAGAATGATGACAGAGAAAATGGTACTCATAGGTGCACACAAATATCATCTATGATTTCAGTGTTTGGATTAATAATTTATTTTATTTTATTTTATTTTATTTTATTTTATTTTATTTTATTTTATTTTATTTTATTTTATTTTATTTTATTTGTAAGTTTGGTATGTTCCTTGAAAAGGACGTGTTTGGGGGAGCAGCTTGGTGTGGTGGGTAGCAGAGTGCGGGTCAGTCATTTGGGGAGGGTACCTCCAAAGACTGAGGATATTGCAGGCAGGAGTGTCACCGTGTGGGCAGTAGAAAGCCTGGAGATAGATTTCTGAGAAGACTGGTTTAAGGTGACAGGAAGAAAAACTTCCCAGGGGAGACTGCAAATTTGATGAGTTTGCTGTAACTCATGAAGTTACTGAATTCCTGAAGCCATAAGAAACAAATCCATAGTGGCTGTGGATTTGTGTATGCATTTTTTCGGCCAATTTAGTTGCTTTACCATACTGATTATTCTGCTTGTTTTAATATTGTACTTTTTGACTCTATTGTCTGTATATAAACAGATATATACTATATATGCATGTACATATGTATACATATATAGAGAGAGATATATAAACAGATACATATATCTGTTATACAAACTCAGGATGCTGAATATAGGCAAAGTATCTTGCTTAGATTCAGCTGGACTATGAAACTTGTTGCCTGCTCCTGAAATGGGAAATTCAGGACTGTATAAAATTCTAGCAGCTATTTATACATAGCATTTTCACACTGGAGGATATTCAAACCATAAAATTATGTTATCTACATTATGATACTTGCCCTATTGTATAAAAGGCATCATGGTGCATAAAGAAATTTGCTTTGATAACTGGACCATTAAAGTGATAAAAAGGAGTTACTAGCCCTTTTGATACATTTACTGGACAAAAAAAAAAAAAAAAAGGAAAAAAAAGAAAAAACATTTATCTCCTCTCAGACTATATTTCATACTAAGAAAATTTTATAGTAAGAAAGCATAAACATGTATTTTGGTCATCAAATTCTCCTAGAAATAATGGAGCAAAGTGCCTATTAGAAATAATGGAGCAAAGTGCCTATTGTAACTGATGATGAAATAATAGTGCCTCAGGTTGAAATGTTCTTGTAAAAATATTGTGCTTTTAGTTATGGATGTTTAGTACCTAATCTTAATGTTTTTAATTCATGGTTCCCCTATAGCTTCCATTGCATCAACCTGTAACGATCCTGGGACACCACAGAATGGCACCAGATATGGAGACAGCAGAGAGCCTGGGGACACCACAACCTTTCAGTGTGATCCTGGCTATCAGCTTCAAGGACAGGCTAAAATTACATGTGTGCAACTGAATAACCGATTCTTTTGGCAGCCAGACCCACCTACATGCATAGGTAATGAGATGAATGTTAGTCCGTGCTTAAGATTAATGCAAAATATATTTCTAGTTAAACTACTGGACATAAGGTTGGACTAATGCCCTCTTTAAAACTCAGTTCTTAGTACTTAACACTGACTGTCTCATTCTCAAGAATAATATCATTTTGGATGTTATTTTCATGTTCTCTTCTATCTTTTAAACTGTATATTATTTTGAAATTCTCCAAGTCTGTCATAAATAATAAAGCAGAAGAGGTGATTTGGATTTTTTTTCTTTTTTTTTTTTCATTGTGTGGCAAATGAAATCTCTTATAGTGGTGTTCTCTATAGTAATTTAGTTACATAAATTTTGATTATTAATTCTGAAGATGCTCTGAGTTCTCTTATATGTTAAGTACTCACTCTGCATAATCCTTAGAGAACTACAGAGATTTTTCTCATTTTTTTTTTTTTTAGTAGTAGTAGTAGTAGAATGTATGTTGGAAAGATAGATTCAGAGGAGAAGTCTGCCTGAAAATGCTGTTGAAAGAAATGAGATATTTTGTTCATTTGCATAACAAAAGAGGTGGGAGAAATCGTATCTTCTCACTTTGAAAAAAGTTTTGATTCTTGGTAACACAGTACGTGCAGTTTTGGGTTTTGGTCAGTAGGCTAGTAACTAGCCTAGTAGTCTCAATGAAATGGGTTTAACAACATCAGTGTAGCTCTTCTAAGGTTAGAATTCCCATGTCCTTGAAAAATTATCTGCTATGTATAGTATTTTGTTATATTTTTATCATTATGTTGCATATTGATTTATAATTAAATATTTTACTGATTTCTGAAGACCAGATATATTCAGCTTTAAGTATAATGTAATATAATATAGAGTATAGATATAATAAAGTATAAAATAATGCTTTCTGCAGGCCCTTTGAGAAAGGTGCTTACCAGTGTCTTTTGAATGTTTTATTTGCAGTGTATGAACAACAACATGAAAACATTTCCTAAATCTATTGGGATTATTCCCAAATTATTAAAAAAAAAACAAATAATTTAAAGACATATAGTGCCTAAAGATTTAGAAGCTCTGTGCTGTTTCTGTAAGCTCCAACTTCCATCATTCATTTTTTTATTATCTAGCAAAAAAAAAGAGTTCATGTCGAAAAAATGATTTACATATATTTATTTTTCCATATACTCATAGTGACTTTGAAGGGGAAAGTGGTTTAAAGTAGTCTTTATTATAGACATGCCAGTCTTAGAAACCCCAGATTATCCATTATGTGCTGTTTTAAAAATAACCACGAATTATTTTTCCAATATGCTGAGGATGAGTTTTATTTAATAAGTGTACTTTTTAGTACTTTGAGCATTGTCAGCAATGCATTCATGGTACTTTAATGTTTTTAGATGCATTTATACTTTATAACATTCCTTAGAATATGGTTATCTCAGGCTGAATCATGAGAACATACTGAGAATATGTGAATAATTTTCTGGAATAATTTGTTTATAAATAAAACCAGAACAAAATCAAACAAAAATACTGTACCAAAAATTCAGAATGAAAAGGAAAAACATCCAATCACTTCTTCCACCCCCAAAACAAAACCTGGTGAAAAAAATAGACCAAACAAAAATAAATAAAAATACTTTGGTTTGTTTTCATTAACAGTAGCTACATTAACATTTCTTTTCAGACCAGGAGTATGTTTTCAGAGCAAGTATTCCTGATCATTCTTTGGTTCTCAGTGTCGAGTTGTCTTGGAGCTTTTGAATTAAACTAAGTGCACCTGATGTGCTTTGGCCGCAAATGATCATTCAGAACTTCAGATCAGCATAGAAATGGTCTGATATAACCCTGTCTTAAAATGGGCAGTGCAGTATGCCAAATAGTATCTACACTTTGGCTCTCCAGATCCATTTCTATCACTTTGGATGACTTGGTGATACAGATACAGCCTGTGTTGACTGTTATTCTTTTTACTTAGAGTTCTATATGATCATCACCTTCGGAAGCTGGAAACCTTACATGCTTAAAGGTGATACTCAATGCATACTAACTGAATGTATATTTTTTTGGGAAGCCTCTGAACCTTTGATATCGGTAATACTTTTACTGAGTGAATCAATCTATTTTACTTCACTTTTATGGTCAAAAGAAAGTGCATCATGAATCATACTGTTGAACTTTCCCAGTTCTTAAGGTAAAGTATTTTCCAGGGCAAAAGAGATACCTCAGTTCAATACAGGTGTGATTAAATCACAGCAAGACAGTCCACGACCTCCTCCTTGACTTGGTTTTTTATTCTTCTAGGGAAAACTTTCCTTTTTTTTTAAAGCATTTTTTCTGGAAAATGCAAAAAGAAATTTGTTAAGTAGGAATGGCGGGGTTAGGCACTAATTAAAAAGAAAATGCACAAGTGAGTTTGCTCCTATTTCAGCAACTAGCACATTCTTGGGAATTTAACATGTGACTACATCCCTATTTCTTTTTTCGTTGTGACAGCTGCATGTGGAGGAAACCTGACAGGCCCGGCTGGAGTTATTTTATCACCTAACTATCCACAGCCCTATCCTCCTGGGAAAGAATGTGACTGGAGGATAAGAGTAAACCCTGATTTTGTCATTGCCTTGTTATTCAAAAGGTACCATTTCTAGATGAATGCCTCTGCTTAACAGGTTTTTAAATGTCACATCTAAAAATTGAATCATTTATCATATTCCCTAGCTCAGCTCTGGAGCGTACATGTACTGTGTGCTATATCATTGCTTCCAAATAATGTAAAAGAAGATAACATAGTTATATGGCAGTTTTTAGTACAAAATATGTACTTGAATAACAAAACTCTCTGTGACCTATAAGACATAAACCTTAAAAAACAATGACGTTGCTTGTTAGAAATGCTAAATTTATATTGTGGTGGCTCACAGAAGGGACTTGAAATACATTGGAAAAAGGAAAATTGAAATACAAATTAACAAGGGAAAAACAGCACTATTATCTGTGATATGGTGGTCAAACAGACAAAAATGAAAGTTTTGATGACATTTTCTGTTTCTTTTTTTGGTATCTACATAACAAGCTAATACAGAATCATATTTAATGAATAAGCTGGAGTGTGAGTACATTCTGGTGCCTTCATATAAGAGAAAATAAGCATGATACTACAATTTTACAAATACGTTTTGTATTAGAACACAAATAACTTAATGCACTGTCACAAAAGACCCTCTAATTTATCTGAAATGTCAGTGTAGAAATAGCTCCCTCTGTCATCCTTATAATAACTCTTTTTTAGCAGCATGTACACAATCTACTTTCCTAACATGCCACTTTCTGTTCATTTTACCTTACCCTTCGACTTCTCAGGCACTGTACTACACCTAAGTCCTGTATTATTCTCAAGGAGGTGGTTTTGAGAGGGCAGCCATGTTCTGCTTAGGATGAAGATGTGGGATGAGAAGAAGAGATGCAGTGTATTTGTCAAATATGCTTTGGCCACTGAAAGCCATTGCCCTGCACAATTTCCTTTTTCTCATTTTGGTCTATAGACTATTTCTTTATTTTTTTTTTCTGACTCTTAACTGTCTGTCTTAGCTAGAATTTCAAAGCATATATTTTTTGACTACGCTTTCTTCTTGAAAATAGAGAATGAAATAGTCTTTATTCACTTTCATTTTTGTGTGGATGTTAACATTTGTCATTACCTAGAGAAGTCCCTCCTGTTGATTTACCAGATTCTAAATGCAGTTTAGACCAGGTTCTAAATGGTGACTTTATGTTTACAGTTGCTGGAATTAATCTCCAATTTAGCCAGCTAAGACCTATACTTCTAAGATGACCTTACTAAGACCTTACTATGCTTAGTGGTAAGAGGCAACCTTCTGCAAAAGGTGATACATTCTATCTTGAGAAAAGTGTTGAGATAAGTAGGAGCAGGTGCTTCTTTCCAAATGACCATAGATAAGACTGTTACCTAAGGCCAAATGGTAGATACCTACCTTTTATAGAAGCTTAGAGGTATCCAATCAACAGCGAAGAGAATTCCACTGAAATAATGTTTTCACTGTGAATCATATTTAAGAATATATTTTATGTATGGAAAAAAATATGTGTTAGGTAAAAGATCGGCAACCAAAGTCACAGTAGTGTTTAGTCCATGAAAGAAATCTGAAGATTGATTCTCTTTTTCCTTCATTTTCAGTTTCAACATGGAACCCAGCTATGATTTTCTACATATTTATGAAGGAGAAGATTCTAACAGTCCTCTAATTGGCAGTTTCCAAGGTTCACAGGCTCCTGAAAGAATAGAGAGCAGTGGTAACAGCCTGTTTCTGGCTTTTCGCAGTGATGCTTCTGTTGGAATGTCAGGATTTGCCATTGACTATAAAGGTACTGTTTCCACTTTAAAATGCAGAAGAAAATAAAAGAAAAAGAAAAGAAATGTAATTTAGGACTTACTAGGACTAAAACCTGTTTACTTCTAGACATACTAATATTGAACTGTGATATACCTCTTTGCACCAACATACATGCCAATACATTTTCCTCTGCACTTTCCTGGCAAGGAACATGCTGAACTGCACACACATTTTTTTAAATAACAGTACAGCCAGGAAATCTTTGTGGTTTTTTTGGTAGCTATTACTAGTCAATCAGAAAGTGAGTTAGTGATAGTTGAGCTATCATTTCACTAAGACATGTACGCTTGGACACCACAGAAGGCTGCTTTCTCTTCTGTTCTCAGATTCTGTCTCTAGCTTTATTGCCATCTCCACTCAGATTTTTAAGCTGTTTTGCACCAGCAGATGTGCTGCCTCAGTTTTTTGTTCTTGACAATGGAAGTAAAAATCTGTACTGTACGTGGCCAAAAAAAAGAGAGAACAAATGTAAGGAATATAGAAGTAACGTACCAGTGAAAGGGAGAGAGGTTAACAAGAAATAGTAAACTGATTTTATATTTAATCTGTAACTTTCATCTAGCTTCAGACTTTTTTCTACATGTAGATTAGCCAACGTTTTCCATTCCAAAGTAACTATGATACTGTCATAGGTAAAATCTTAGTCTCTTCATTTCTACCTAAAATTGAAATAAACAAAACTAGAAAACAGTTCCAGGAAATAAAAATGTGTTGTCTTCAGGGAAGAAAATGGGAAGTTGAGCAAAAGTTGATAAGGAGATAAAGATGGCCTCTTTGATATGTATATGCAGCAATAACTACTTGCACTTTTTAGCTATGTTGTATTTTCTATTCTCAGCATAGTCTGATAAATGTATAGCTAAATGCAACTATAATTGAAATGAAAAAAAACCCAGAACCACAGAACATATATACTTTTAAATGATAGTGTGTTAGTAAGCTTGCTCCAAATAATTGAATGCTTAAGTATGTTAATCTTTTATATAAAATTTAATATATTAGATTTTTAGTAACTGACATCCATTTTTGCTTTGTAAACTTTTTTTTGCCTATTTCATTTATTTAGTTAAAAGGATTTTTTTCTACCCATAAATGCCTTCTATCTGAAGATCATCACAGTTTTGATAAGTCTTTTCTAAGACCTTACTACCCCATACCTTTTCCTTGTGTTTTAACTTCTTTGTATTTTTGACTTCTTTGTATTTTGATTTTCTTTGTATTTTGATCAAAGAAGATGAATGAAATCCTGAAATGAAATATTAGCCTTTACAGTCCATTTATTACTAGATCCTCTTATAAATGAAAGAGAATGGAGCCGTGCATTTCTGTTTTTAAGTTACTTTGTAGCTCATCAGCTTTCTAACCAGAAGTTATTGAGCGCTGAGTATCATATTTGGTTAACATAGAATAGTGTTAAGTTGTGCACTGTTGAAATGGCAGTTTTTTTCTTTTAGATTTCATTGAAGTCAGTCATTCAGTTTTGGCAAATTAAACAAGTAAGAGGTAGGAGAAAAATACTGTAGCTTAGATCTCCTCAGTATTATTTCCTTGACCAGCTCACCAGTCTTCTAGGCAAACTGATGGCAAAAAAAGCACTGCAAATTCTTTTTCTTTTCTTTTTTCTTTCCTTTTTTTTTTTTACTTTTTTCTTCTATTCTTTTTATCAGAGAAACCACGTGAGGCTTGTTTTGACCCCGGGAACATTATGAATGGAACTAGAATTGGAACAGACTTTAAACTTGGTTCAACTATTACCTACCAGTGTGACTCTGGATATAAAATTATTGATCCTTCAACTATAACATGTGTAATTGGTCCCGATGGAAAGCCAGCATGGGACAGAGCATTGCCATCTTGTAATGGTATGTATTGTTATCTTACAATTTCTTGTGCCTCCACAGTGGCTTATTAAAGCTTATAAAGAAAAAAAAAAGAAAAAAATATTTAAAAAATGTCTTTAAAGTCTGAAGTTACCCAATAAAGTCACATTGGCAGTAATGATCACAAAGAATTATTTGAGGTCTCCCATAACATGAATTTCAGTGGAAGACTCTGTGATCTAGGTAAGAATCCACTAAAAATAAACTAAAAAAAAAGGTGTTGGGGGGGGACACTTTCAGTAAGTATTCTGAACTATCTTTCTGTTGTTTTCTTTTATTCTCTTTGCTTGCTGCATCTATTTACTGTTTTTTAGACTGTAACTTTTTTAAGCTGGTCCTGCCCTTTCACTAAAACAGGCCTTCAGACTGAGAACCCAAACAGATAATTATTCTTACTAACAGTGTCATTATGTATTTATAATAATAGGGATTTCTCTGTGCTCCCAGATGATATTAGATGTATTGTTTTCAGGTATGATCTTGTTAGTGTTATTAATTTGGAACTGTTTTTAAAAAAAAAGGTAGCTCCTTAGCCAGTATGAGCATTATTAATTAAGTAGTGCTTAGAGCAAGGACTGGGGACTAGAAATCGATTGCCTCATTAGACTTAAGTTGTTAGACTATTTCCTGCTGTGCTTTTGATCCAGGCCACCAAGAACACTAAAGCTGCTGGCACAGTGAAGGAGCAGGCGTGAGGCAAGGCAAGCATGTGAACTTTGCTGGCAGGCAACTTATATATGTTTCTGGATAAGGGTACTAGTAGTAGTACTGGTACTTGCTGTGGCCAGCTGTGCTATTCGGTCTCAAGGCCAGAGAAGAGGCTTTTGTATTGTTTTGTTTCCAGAGTAGCCATAGCCTAAGGCTGTTTCTGCACAGCTAAATAGAGGAAGGAAAAATGGAATTAGTTGTTGGTTATTCTCACTGCTTGATACTACTACACTCCAGCTGTGAAAACACCATGCTGTTAAGACATGGGTGCAACTCTCACATTATTTCATAGTCTTTGAACTGCACACACAGATGCACAAAATAAGAATATTGTTTTAATGCCACATAAACATCTAGTGGAGTCCAGAGGACAAGAGCATTCTACAGTGTGGCATGCTCTGAATGTGGGTATGACCATGGCTTTGTTTATTTAGCAGTTTAGATGTAGGCTCAGCGTGTGTCTGCACTGCTAAATGACAAAAGGCCTGAGAAGCAATTCCTAGTCATAGTCACACTGTCTAAGGCTAGTTCTTTGTGCTTAGTTAACACTGCCTAGCACTTGGCCCTGTGTTCATCTGAGCCTGCCTGGCCTTAAGCCATGCTTTATTTGCATGTACACAAGGGGGGCTCACATCAAAGTATCTTAGATTACATAGAGGTTGTGTTTTAGTTCACTAGAACATACACTTAAACCTATAGCATGAACCTGAAACAATATGTGCTTTGAGATATGGTATAATGGCATACAGAGCTATGCAAGACTGCTGTTCTGTGGCACAGAGAAAAGTAACCCTAATGCAGGCTCATCCTTAATGCCCTTCCAGCATGGACCCGGAGTGAACTGTTTCCAGCACCTGTGCATGGCCTTGGAGACAACCAGTTGATGGCTGCTTTGATCCATATGATAATTTGTTAAATTTCAGCCAGTCCAAATCTGACAAATTCTCTGTATGTCTTGCACTAATAGCTTTTAGGAAAATTGCAACTGCTTCATAATAAATATAAAGAAAATGAATGACCTTATATTTTGGAAAGTCTTAGTTACAATATCCTACAAATAATATCTTGAGTTGCTTTATATTTTGAGAAAACTTGGTCTAAGAAGTAGAAAGCAAAATAAGGCCTCCTTATCTGGTACTTAAATTCAGTAAGGCAGAAAAGGTTTTATGGGAACTCTTTAAATAAGTATAACTATAGCACATATATATTGCACATATAACTGTAGCTATGCTTATAATTTATATTTTTATCAAATATTTTTATTCACATACGTAGATTAAATTATTAAGTAGTGGTATGTTCTTAAAAAAAATCTTTGTTATCTCTTTCAATTTCTACAAAATAGCTTCATTATGCCAAATAAAATCAGCTTGAGTTGATAAAATAAGTTAAATCTAAATTAGAAAAGTTTTTTTTTTCTTTACGAGACAACTCCAGAAAAATCACTATTCATACAATTAGCATTTCTACCTTTATCTTTGGATTTAGACAGTTTGTTTTGTAGCATAGGCAAACTGAAACCTATATAAAACACAATCTGCTCTCTTTTATGTCCAACTGAAAGCTGATTTAGCAGATCAAACATGATAATTGTGTATCTCTGAATATACATTTCTTTTGGAAGATTGATCAGAACTGTTAGAATAGTTTTAATTCAGTTATGTCCCTCTAAGAATTTTTTTCCCCAAACCTGAAAACCAATCAACACAAGATTTTTGGAGGAAATAAATTATCTACTAGTAATTTTCTAAGCATAGATGGATTCTGTCCAATCTATTTTTCTTTCAGTAATAGGGTTTGTTGAAGAGTGGGAACAGCTAGGCTTTTTATGTTTTTCAGATATTCCTGATAAATTCTTATTATTGAGAATTGGAAGGAATACTTCTTTCTCTCTTATCTGGTTATGGAAATTATCTTTCAAGAAAAAGACATAGAGGTATTATTGTTTTTGGTGAGGGAGAAGCATTGAAATCTTAAAAGTGTTCCATTGGAACACCTCATCCCTCCGTGTTATGTAGCGTTAAGTCAGATCTAGAAACTGGACTCCAGAGGAGTAATAGATTTTAAAAGGTAAAATTGTAATTAATGATAATTTCTTATTGAGTTCTTCAGAATCTAGCTGTAAATATGATGTCAAAAATTTGAAAAGCAAGCGAACAGTTTACTGCCATGAAATTTTGTTGATACATGTGGAACTGATCATAGCGGTGAAAGCTATAATTAGTGGTCTGTGTCTGTCAGGTCATTTCTTGTGTTGCTTATTGACATGCTCACTTAACATAAGTGAATAAAAAGGAGTGACGAATCTATATTATAGTCTCAAGCCATAACTTTAATTCCTTTTTTAAAAAAAATCTTTTAATTTTTTTTTATTTATTTTTCCTGCTAGCATGCTGGAAATAGCTTGTGATTGGTTTTCCTTTGAGATACAGTCTAATTCTGAATGGCATCTCTGAAATTGTGCGTCTCCTGTTTTTGACAAGTAAGGATTACTATAGAGCTATATAATGCTGAAATAACAATACTGCTGAAATAACAGCATTACAAACTTGGCTGATATATGCCAGAATAGCCTCTATATGTTGATTAACCTCATATTATTTAAATCTAGAATTCGGGGTTACCAGTTGCTTGCACTATCTCTCTGTTAGCTAGGCAAATGAGACAGTCTTGTATGTTATAATGAAATGTTAGTTCTCAACATTTTGAAAAATACAAATTTGGATACAGTTCTGGAGAAGAGATTGTAGGGTGTTTTGTTTTGTTTTGTTTTCTGACAAAAATACCTAGCCCCCTTAGGATTAGCAATATGATTTCTGATGTAGATTTAAATACAAATGTACACATACTGGACAGACTAGAGGGAATGTCTAAAGCAAGGAAAACTTGCCCTTAGTGGTGAAGGATCAGGTTAGCTAACATTTAAGCAAACTAGACTGAAGTCTACGGGACGTGTTTGGCTGCACCAGTGAATGCTGAGGGAGCTGAATGATGTCCCTGCGAAGCAATTCTGAGTCATCTTGGAAAGATCATGGAATCAGGAGAGGTTCTTAAGGAAAAGAAAATGTAATTTATTTTTCTGAAGAAAGCAAATGTGACTCTTCAAGAAGAACAAGAAGGAGGATATAGGGAACTACAGGCCAATTAGTCTCACTTTGATCCTTGGAAGTCATTTTCAGGCACATGGAGGACAAGAGGGTGATCAAAGGGGCAATTGTGCTTAAACAAGCCTTCTAGCAGATACATGAGATGACTACCTGATGGATAAGAGCAGTAGATTATGTTTATCTCAGCTTCAGTAAGGCTTTGACACTGTCTCCCATAACTTCTTTGTAGACAAGCTGATGAAGTATAAGAACTATGAAATGGACAGGGAAGTAGATGGAAAACTGCCTGAACTGCTGGACTGAAGAAGTTGTAATCAGTGGTGCAAAGTCCAGTAGGAGTCCCACCACTCATGGAGTATCCCAAGGGTTCATTCTGGCTTCAATACTATTTGACTTCTTTATTTATGACCTGGGCAGTGGGACAGGATGTATCCTCAGATGATACAGAACTGGGAGTGGTTGATACTCAGGTGGTTGTGCTGCCATTCAGAGGGACCTCAACACTCTGGAGGACTGGCCAACCGGAAGCTCGTGAAGTTCAACAAATGAAAATGCCAAGTCCTGTCCTTGGGAAGGAATGACACCAAGAACTGGTCCAGGCTGGGGGACTGGCCAGCTGGAGAGCAGATTCGCAAAGATTGATTGGGCATCCTGGCAGCCACCCAAGTTGACTGTGAGCCAACAATGTTTCCCCACAGTAAAGGCTAGTGGTATCACTGGTTACATTAGAAAGAGCATTGCCAACAGGACAAGAGATGGTCCTTCCCTTCTATTACCTCTTTTTCATTAAGTTGTCATGATTAGATCACTTTATCTGATTTTTTCCTGGCCACTTGCTACCTCATCTTAATTCTACTTCCTTCAAGGTTATGGGGAAATATATTAAGCAACACAAACTCAATGGGAACTTTGTAAATTTGTTTTCTCCTTTCTTACTAGCTTCATTTATGGCAACTAACATAACTATTGAACTTACTGAGCAACATATTTTGGGAAGCTATGTTCAAAGAAATGCTGCCAGCTTTATCTACTATTTCAGCTTTATCCATTATTTCAACACTTTATTCTTAGAACTCTAAGAGATTAATGAGGCTCACATTTCCTTTGTGGCAACCATATACACTATATCTTTCTCTTATAGTTGTATTTGACACTAACCTTTCAATCATTATATTAGAGAAATAAATCATTGTTCTCAATTCTCAGCAATCTGGAAGAGTTTTTCATTTATTATCTGATCCTCATGTCTTCTCAGTTTGTAATCTATCAGCTTGTTCCAACACCCAGTCACTGGTAACTTATTTATTATTATATTAAAATACTTAATAGAAAGCAAACGATAATGCAGCTGAGTGGAAATTAAATGCAAAGAAATAATTGAACCTTTTGTTCTTACCCATCTTTTGCTATTCCTTATAGTTTCCAGTAATCTGGCAATCAAACCAAGTTTTTAACAAACTTACTTTCAGTAATAAATAAGTAAAATAATTTTCTTTCTTTTCTTTTTCAGTATAGTTAATTCACTTTAGTATAATGTTTCTTCTATCTTTTTAGTACAATTTAAAAATATTAACACTGCCTGTATATTCAATACTATATTTGATGTTTCTGGCTGATTATTATTTTCACAAAAGTACAAGTAGCAAGTCCTATCATATGTTATTTTTCTGCATGGAGTTAAGCAATTTGGCTGCTATGGCATGTTTAAAAATATACCCTTTATATTCTGTTTTCTTGAGTTACCTTAAAGTAAGTCATAAGGGTATGTTTTTTAAAAATGAATTACTTGGTAAGCCATGCAGATAGACTGAAGTTACCTCCAGAAGCACATACTCCAGTTTACAGTTTTCCTCAAATTTAACAGGTCAAGGTACATAATATTTTGCTTAGCAATATTTCTGCTTTTCTGCTTTTTAGACACCCAATGTTGTTTAAAGTAGACATTACAAGCATCTCATTATCACATTAATTATTACCTTGGAATAAGAAATATAAGCACTGAGGCAGAAAATTAAAGAGCAGTCATGGAGCTATGGCTAACTAATTTACCGTCTATCCCCTGTTTCAGTATTATATTATATTATATAACTACAGAAGAGTTTCAACAAATAAAAAGACATTTTATGTATTACCAATTTTCAATAAAGAACTATGATGTAATTTCCTTGAAAGATGATTTCTAAAATTAAAAATGTTTAGTTATCTGCATGCACTCAAACTCAGTGTGAGATATTGATGTTTATTTTGTCAAAGTACAGACATTGTTTTAGGAGCTATGTCTGTTTGAGGCTTTTATTTCTGGATTTAAGAGAGTAGAGGATTCAAGTGAACATTTATATTAATTTTTCATTTTATAATATTAAATAAATGATACAAGAATAGATGTTAATAGATATTAATAGATAAATAAATAAATGATACAATAATAGATATTATTGTTATCAGAAATTATTTTTGAAAAATGTTACTGTGCTTTAAAAACCCCAACTAAGATCAAAGATATAAATATCCCCAAAATAAGCAAAAGGAGTTAGCAGCTTGCAAGTTAAACCATAAGTCATTTTTTTTCTCCTGCATTGCAATTTAGTATTTTTACTGCTATTTTATAATAGCTTCTTAAGAATACCAGACAACATCATTCTATATGTGTGCCTTCATAAGATGTTATAGCTAGGATTCAAAACGCCAAGTTACAAGTGCCCCAGAAAGTAAAAAGAACTGTAAAACTGATGGAGTCAGCTTTCCTCAGTGCTGTACATTTGTCATCCTTTTGATATTTCACGAATTCCAAATCATAGAATCACAGAATGCTTAAGGTTGGAAGGGACCTCTAGAGATCATCTAGTCCAACCCCCCTGCACACGTAGGGTCACCTAGAGCACGTGGCACAGGACTGCATCCAAACGGGTTTTGAAGATCTCCAGAGAAGGAGAGTCCACAACCTCTCTGGGCAGCCTGTTCCAGTGCTCTGGCACCCTCACTGTCAAGAAATTTTTCCTTACGTTGTTTTGATGCTTTAGTTTCTGGCTGTTTCCTCTAGTTCTATCACTGGCCACCACCGAAAAGAGGCCAGCACCATCCTCTGCACTCCCTCCCTTGAGGTACTTATATACACTGATCAAATCCCCTCTCAGCCTTCTCTTCTGCAGGCTGAACAGGCCCAGCTCCCTCAGCCTCTCCTCATAGGGCAGATGTTCCAGGCCCTTGATCATCCTTGTAGCCCTGCGCTGGACTCTCTCCAGCAGCTCCACATCCATCTTGTACTGTGGGGCCCAGAACTGGACACAATACTCCAGATGCGGCCTCACCAGGGCTGAGTAGAGGGGCAGGATCACCTCCCTCGACCTGTTGGAGATGCTCTTCTTAATGCATCTCAGGATCCCGTTGGCCTTCTTGGCCACGAGGGCACACTGCTGCCTCATGGTCAACTTGTCGTCCACCATGACACCCAGGTCCTTCTGGATTAAATGTGGATTAGTATGTTATTTCTGGTCTCCACTCCCCGCTAAGAAGAGAATAGATGAATAAATAAAAGTTTGAGAATGATGTTCCACATGGTTTCAATGTTAAAATAAATAATTTCCAAGGATATTCTTTTGCTTTTATGATAAGAGATGATTAAACTGAGTACACATCCTTTAAAAGGCTCAACTGTTGCCATAAACGGTTTTTATTTGCCAAAGAAAATGGCTGACGTTGTTTGGAGTGAATTTTTGAGCATTTGATGCAAAAAAAAAAAATATATAAAGTACCAGTTGCTTTTTAAGGGACCACATTTAAAGTATAAAAATTGCTGCATTGTTAATCTGTTGTATGGAGTATTCATAGAGAGAAATAATGTTGGTTTACTTTATTCTTTATAAATTCTTAATTCTTATAAAAAAGACATATTCTAATGAAGGTTTTGACAGAAAGTCAAGTTTTTGTTCAAAACATTCAGAAGAATGACTGAAATGCACTGTTGGATAGAAATATGTTTATAAAGGGACATTTTATTTTAAAACAGCCACTTTTTATATATTTGTTAATTGCTCGTAAGCACATATCCCTTCTATCCACTCTCTGCTTTGACTAGAAGTCAAATGTGAAATTATTTAGACATAGAACTTCTGTGATGTGTTTGCTTTCACTCATAAGTGCTAAATACAGCGCTACCTTAGGACACCACATTTATTGAGTATACATGTAAGCAATATACCATGCATGCATAGTTCATACTTCCTTATGCTTGAGGAAGAACTGCTGCTTGTATAATACCTGACTAAGCTGAGACTCCACTGTCTTTGAATACTCCTTCTAACTTCCATGGATTTAAAGAGTTTAAAAAATAGAAGATTATTTTTATATGTTTATCTTCATTTGGATTTAATGAACACGTAGGAAGTTATAAAAACAAGGCAATTTAAGCATATGCTCACCAAGCAAAATCCATGGCATTCTGTACAGGCATTCTGAGACCCAAGGTAATTGCATTGTGTCATCTGTTTATGTGCTAATACCTATTTTTTCTGAGATTTATTTTATATATATAGATACATATGTACCTTGAAAAGAATACCTACCTTCTGTGCTCCCAGTCTGCTTCAACTAAATCATTTATATTTGAGTGCTATACAAATATCTGATAACTGTTGTCAAGTAAAATTCTACATATTCTACTTTTAAATCAGCTTTATAAAAAATATTGTCCTTAGAAAGATTATTAAATCTGCTGCTATAGGGAAAAAAACAGCAATAGGCAAAAGCAAAGAACTGTCATCTTGTATTCTTTATTTTTTATCTTCAGGCTGAAGTAACATAGATAGGACTGACTGTAAGAAAATATATTTATTTCTGTTTTGCTTCTAGCTCCATGTGGAGGGCAGTATACTGGATCAGAGGGAGTGGTTTTATCACCAAGTTATCCTCATAATTACACTGCTGGACAGACTTGTCACTATTCAATAACTGTACCTAAAGAATTTGGTAAGAATTCCTTGTGTTGATTTGTCAATCACTAATCCTTGTTCGAGTCTTAAAAAGTCTTTTGCATGCAACACTGACCTTAAGTTTTCAATATATTGCAACTTACCGCTCAAAATAAATATATTCTTTACCTAGAAATTAATTCTAAGGTTTTCACCTTTTCCAACTCTGTAATCAGCTGTCTCCAGCTAAGCACAGGGGTTTTCACCTTTTCCAACTCTGTAGAGTAATCAGCTGTCTCCAGCTAAGCACAGTCTTGTGTTGACTATCCAAGCATATCCCACAGTAAAATCAGTTGTAAAAAAAAGCCTTCAACTGTTCTTCCATATCTTGAATTTTTGTTCTTTATATTTAACAAGATGACTTCTAAGATAAAAGCATATTTAACAAATAAGGTGGAGGGAAAAGAAGGAAAAAAAAAGGAGCAATTTTGCATAAAATTTCCACAAACATTTCTAAAAGAAATCATGTCACAAAACATCTCATTCTTGAATATGTCAAAATGCTTGGATGACATCTCTAACACATGCACATCTGCACGCATAGCATGGCCTACTGCAAAGCAAGTTCCTGTATTGTAAGTCTAGATAAATAGAAATGTGATTGGTGATTTATTACATTACTGTGCACATGGATATCTAGCAGGTTACTATATTCAGTACTTTCTATATGATATAAAACCAGGAAGGACTCAGCAGTTATGTCACTGAGGAATTTTTAAAGTTGCTGATAGAAACAGTTAGTGAATTACAAGGTGAGGGCTTGGGAAAAGCTTATTAGACATATTTTTTTAAAAAAACTGAATAGCCTATTTTATTTCTGCTAGATTCCATTTATTCAATAATATCATTTACAGTATACTTTGGGTATAATGTTTTATGTCCCTGTTCAATTATGGGGATAGGTCTAACATAACTATCTGCTGCAAAGTGTATTCTCACGTGCTTCCTCTGGGGCTTGAACCAGGCCATAGCACCTAGAGGACAGAATAAAACTGAGTGCTGCACTTACTTCGTTCTGAGAACTGGACACGAGGGAGAGAGCAAGACAAATCTGAAGTGTTATCCTCAACCTCCTTGTGTTATGCTCACCTACAAGTATTATGCTCAACCTTCCAATTTCTCTTAGAGTCCTTAGGCTGAGCATATTCAGTGGGAATTCAAATGAAAATGGAGTGGTTAATACAAGTTGTCAGCAGCGTGGAGAGAAATGTGATGTTAATGGTGGGGTTTCTTTCTCTTCTTGCCATGAGGTGTTTGATGTTGATGATTTTTTATTCGGCCTTGAGGGTCTGCTGGGGTTTAGTCTGCTTAGGTTGTCTTTCTTTTCACTGACTCACAGCCATTGAAACATATTACAGCAAAATTTGCATTCTTTATTATGATCTTTTTTTTTTTCCTTAATACAAGACAGATTTGATAGAGTGGATTTTCTCTTTTGCCTGCTAAAATCATGTAGGATGCAAAATAATAAATAGAATGAGAAAGATACTAGATCATTTGGAAAATATCCACCAAAGTGTTCAGAGTGATTAAATCTTGTAGTTTTATACATGGATACTTATATCCATCTTAAGACTTACTACACAATATTGTTCACTAGAATTCCTGATAAAGAACTTGTGAAATATGTGTAGTCTTGGTTTGTCTGTGTTTAATTAGTGTATTGAAAAATAGCAGGTTTTAGTTAGGAATGCTCAGTGCATTTTCCCATGTTCATTAAAAATTAAGCAACTTTTTCACCAGGCATATAAAGCAAATATTTTTATCCTTATTTACTAGAGAGAGAAGCTGACACACATCATAGAGTCTATAGCTAACATATAAGATGCTTGGTATGTACTGATTTCTCTATGCTGAATCCCACACTGTATCTGATCTGAGGAGGGCTTGACAGAACACTCACTTGAGTGTACTAGCTGTAGCTGCAACTTAGAAACAATCCTTTTTCATTAGTGATACCAACTACCTTTTTTTTTTTTCACTTTTAATAGGATGAGAGTTTTGTGTTTTTCTTTATTTCTATTTGATAATAATAACCAGCACAAAAGATGATATAATTTGCTTAAAAATAATTAAATTAAATTAAATTAAATTAAATTAAATTAAATTAAAAATAAAATAAAATAAAAACAAGTTGGAAAATACTGATCAATGCAAGCTGTATGGTAATTGATACATAAAAGCTGCACAGAAAATATGTGGATATTATAAAGAATCTGAAATAGGAATCATGTAAAAACTGATTTCTGACTTCCCAATAAGGCATAGGTAGCTGGAGTGACAATTATTTTTTTCATCTTGATTATCAGTTCTTGATGATTCTCTTGCTAGTTGATACTTGGATTCAGTAAACCATTCAATATTTACTAATGATTTGTCAATATACTTTAAAGTGCTTACAACTGAAGTGCAGATTAGGTATAGAGATATGCCAAAACAATTGTATTTATATTTTTTGTATTCTTTCTGATGAAATGAAAACTAATGCTGAAGTTATATAAATGGCAAAATCAATACATTCTCAGATTAATACTGGATGAATAACTAATTGTGTGTGACAACAGATGCTTCTTTGCTGGTTGGTAAGTTGGTAAGGTTAGTAATGAAACTTTGGTAAAAAAAAATTTCCTTTTAGATATTTCATTTCTGTATTTATGGAAGGATCCATTGGTAACTAGGAAAAGCAAAAAATATCTCATTAAATTTGTTTTGATGACTTGATTCTAGTTTTATCTTTCTTTTTTCTCTACTCTTGCTTTTTTTTATGTAGTTGTGTTTGGGCAATTTGCCTATTTTCAGACAGCTTTGAATGATGTGGCAGAGTTATTTGATGGAGACAGTTCTCAGGCTAGACTCCTTAGTTCATTGTCTGGATCCCACTCAGGTAAGAAAAAAACCATACATTTTTATGCAGTTCGTTATAGAAAAAAGGAATGTGGGAGAACGTTATCAATTTCGTTTGCAAATATAACAATAAATTCATTGGAAAAAAGGGTGCCAAGGGAAATGGAAGACCATTCTAAGTCTTTTAATTACTACTTTCTTCTGGAACATATGGTTTAGGCAACAACAGCTCAATGAGTTGAGTGCAGAAATAATTGAATGAATTTTTCTGTTCGGTAAGAGGGCTGATTGGATAGTATAATTATCTTTTCTGCCCCTAAACTCTTTGAATTACATACCTGCATTTTCTGAATGTTTAATTTAAATACAAATTACTTGCATTCACCAAATGCAATTATCTGTATGTAAAGGCACACTTAGACTAAAAGCAGGGCAGCTGTTGCATTCAGGTAACAACAAATATATATAACAAAATGTTCACCCCATGAAATCATAATTAATCCTATATGAACTTCAGCATGACCGGGATTTTCCAGTTTATATATATGTAATGACTGTGTTCATCTCAAGTCAGTCACATACAAATACATTTCTGTGCTGCACATGTGTCCGTCCATTCACTCCAGAATAAAGGACCGCTGATAACACAAGTTTAACATTTTTGCATTGTAGGGCTTTTCACTTTTCTTGGTTCTGGATTTGTGGCTTGCTTTGCTTTGAATAACTGGAGAAGTACTTCCTATTAAAGGAATATAGTATATCTATATGATCTGTATAAAGTAATTTAGTATTTGAAAAATTTAATTCTTTTCAAAATAAGAAAAAAACCATGATTTTATTTTAAGAACTGTTTTAAAATCTGTTTCAGCATTAGCAAGTGTTCAGCAAGAAAACACAATTTAAAATTTTGAATTTTAAAATTTAAGAATTTAAAGCACCCGATTTTACTGCATCAAACACATATCAAAAAACACTAGTGTCTGTGCTTTTGTAGCACACATATTGAAAATATTTGACCATTGTGATTTCTGTGTGTTCCACGTTACCATCTTAGAATTAATTAATGTAACAGATTCATGTCTCATTTATATTGGTGTATGCTAGTTTATTGGTTCAATCACTGAAGTTATAATAAAATAAAAAACAATCTGAGTGAAAGAATTATCAATCCTATTTACATAGTTACCATATATCTCTTAGATTAGTACATTATCGTTCATTTCAGAGGAGCTTCCTAGCATTTTTTTGATATAACCCAGTGAGAATGAAAACAGTTGTCAATAGATAGTGTGGCATCCAGCAGTTTAATATCACAGCAGTCACAGTGTGGTGATTCATTATTGAATTTGTATGACTGATTGGATAGATACCTGCAGGTATAAAAGAAATATATTAAATATCTTTATTATTCCCCAGGTAAGTATATAAAATTTGAAATGTTATTAGATAATTTAAAATGTAATATAATTCATGTGGCTCATGTATTTTCTGAAGCAGTAGTATAAAAAGAGTCACGGACTTATTCTCTACCATTTAATTTAATTTTTAAATGATAAAGGTCACATGAAGAAACTCTGTGGCACTTTTAGAATTCTTTTAATTGTTTAATGTATTTTTCAAGGCAAATTACAGTCAAATTGTCAGTCAAGTCACAGAAGAACTTAGACAAAAATTCTTCTGATGATTCTAGCCCCATATGATAATGGGCTCACTCGGCAAGCAGTTTGTTGGGAAATCTAATTCCAATAGCTGCAGTAAATATCAGAAAGCTAATATTGTTGAATCAAGAAATATATTTAACCTGACATATTTTTAAAATTCCAGTGGCAAATTTAATTTTGGAAGTGTGATTTACAGTTTTTAAGACTGTGGAGGAAAACATAAAACAGTATTACTTTCTTTTTAATTATATATTTGGTTAACTACTGAAGAGCTGTATGTGGTTTTTTTCCCATTTCTTTTCTGTTTTCATTTGTAGGAGAGACATTGCCTTTGGCTACATCTAATCAAATTCTTCTGCGATTCAGTGCTAGGAGCGGGGCATCAGCCAGGGGATTCCATTTTGTCTACCAAGGTATATCTGCTTTTTTTTTGGCAGTGGGCACACTTGTGCCAGTCTTGAAGAGCATAGCAATTTTAAGATAGGGGTCTAAAAATGTTTACTGACAGGAGAGGTCTTAACCTTTTGTAGTTGCCAGAGACCTCTCCTGGCAGGATGGCTACAGAATTGCATTGGCCTCAGGTGAATCCTCTCTGGCTCCATGGACTTTAATGTCTAGGCTCTCTGGATAGTCCCTAATATGTTGTTCTCTTGCTGAGGGCTGACCATTTCCTCAAACTGTGGCAGTACATAGTGAGGCCTGTGAAGGCAAAGCAAAAAGGGGCATTGAAGACTTAAAACTTTTCTGTAAGATTTATCACTACATCTCCCCATGTATCAACAGACCCACATTTTTTTTTTTTTTTTAAAAACCCTTTATATATAGCATATCTGTAGAATCTCTTTTTGCTACCCCTGATTTCCCCTGCCAGCTTTTGCTCCAGGTAGGCTTTGGCCTTCCTGGTTTCATTTCTAAGTACCTGAACAAAACCGTTACTTTTCTGTCCTCTTCCCTGACCTTGTTTCCATGTATGTTATGTTCCCCTTTTGTGTTTTAATTCTCTGAGAAGTTCCCTGTTTGTGCAAGTGGGCTTTCCTCCTAAATTGCCAGTCTTCCTTCATAATGGGATTGTTTGTTCTTAGACTCCTAAAATCTCTTTTAAAAAAATCAGCCAGCTGTCCAGCTTCCCTCTTAATGCCTGTTTCCTAGGGGATTATATCTACCAATTTTGTGAATATACTGCTTACCTAAATTCCAGCCATAATGCTGATTTTCACTTTGCTAGCCTTCTGCTCATCCTGAACTTAAACATGGTGTAGTCGCTGCAGCCCAGGCTGCGGTCTATATCCATATATATCCAAATGCTAATAGGCATTGCAAATGCACCTGGAATTACTAATTGCACTTTGAAATTCAATAAATCAGTGGAAACAAAATTGATTGAATTGTTAATTGAATGATATCATCATTCCAACAATTTATGATTTATATTCAAACATAATGACACAGAAAATGATTCCTATGTTTATAGTAAAGAAGTACCTAGCTGGCTGAGACAGATATTAGAAACAGGATGAAAGTTGTTTTATACTTAATTTATGTCCCATCATACCTGCTAATTATGTTTAGAACCTTAAATAGGGGTTCTTTTCAAAAAAACAATAGAAAAAAAATTAGACTTGGGATTTGTTCTACTGTCTGACAGTACAGGAGTTAGTTGATTAAAAAGTGAGTACAGCATAATAGCTCATACTGTCTGAGAATATTAGATTTACCTAAACCTTAATCCCTAGAAATAGCTGATCTCAACTTTCTCAAGACATTAAAAAAAAAATGTCTTCATTCATTCAAAAAATGGTTTCAAACACTTCTGAAAATCTCAGTACTGGACCTCTATATCCAGCATACCTATGGAAATTGTCAAGACAATGCAGCTTTGCTTCAACATATTTCTATCAGTTCTAGAGGTAGTTTGCATGAGCTTGATTTCTGCATCACACACCATTCCTTTCTATAGAAGTAATCACGTAAGTCATAAAGACTTGCAGAACTGTTCTTAACACAACTGACTCTGAGGAGTCTATACTGCGGTAGAGATGCAAGAATGAGACAGGATGCCCAAGTTTGTTAGCAGGCTGCTAGACAGTACTTAGTACACTGAATTGATTGCTTTAGAGGATATATTCTGGTCACTCCTGGAGCATGTACAGACAGCACAGTCAGTCCTGAGGAGACCTCTGGGCGGTGCATATGCAGGTGGGCCTCTGCGCAGATGCAGCCCAGTAAACTTAATGATACAGCCAGTGAACACTGTAGTTTAATATATACTAGCATTTCAACTTCACTGAAATATAAAAATACAGTTTTGGAAAGTTTTAAATAATATTAATAAGCACATTTTCTCTCTTTCCTTTTCATACTGTTGTTCTTTTACGTTAGAGCACAGTCATGGCTTGACAGAGTTACTTGAGGGAAAGCCTTATGTCTCATGTCACGAAGGTTTCCATAGCTATAAGGAGTTAGCAAACACTATTCAAACCTACTCTGAGTAGTGTTTTCAAGCCTTCTTATTTCTGTGTTTGCAGAAAAGTTTCATCATGACTCTGCCTTCTACTTTGAATATTGCTCGAGATGTCAGTATCTGTCTTCTTTATATGTGAAAATCATAACTTACATTTAAATTCACCGTTATCGCAGTTAATGATAAAAAGAAAGGGAAATGATAACCCACAAATTTATGGAAATAGAGAACACCTTTCAGCATTTGAGTTCTTCCTATCATCCATTTGCACGTGAATCACACCTTTCAATCTTAATTTACTTTTCTCTCATATACCTAGAATGTGTAGTTATTTTCAACTGCATTACTTTGTTTTAACTGAGACACAAAGGCCCAGTTATATTAATTGTATATACATGCATGCATACATACATATCATGTGTATATATATAGAGAGAGATGTTTTTTCAGAAGAATAATTCTCTGAAGATATAAATATTTCAGAATATTTCAGATTCAGAAGATATGCACAATGATATGCTTTATTTCAGTCATTTATGTGGGCTACATATGCTTTTTAGGAAAAGTGAGAAAGATTTTAAGAAATAAGAAACATTTTCTGCAGCATCACAAAATGAATGAAGCAGATCTTTGCTGTTTGTCTCAAGACCATCTCAAGACTATTTGCCAATTTTTGCATATGTTTTGAATTATGTCTTAGGATCTTCATTTAATACACATTTCTTTTACTTAATGAGGTAATGACAATTAATAACATATTTCATTTTGTATTTTTTTTCTCACCTTATGAAATCTGTGGTCACATTTCCAGTAATACCTGCTTGCCATCCTTTTAAATACTCCGGAGAATAGCATCCACTCTCAATGAACACACCAATCTGGTCTGCAAAGTCAATCATTTTATTTATCACATTCTATTCCAGGTTGACTTTCTTCCCTATTCACTTTTCCACTGGGCTGATTTCAATTTTGTTTCACAGCAGTATGAAACATTTACTAAAAGAGGGAGGATAATTACTGTAGAAAATAGAATGTCTCTAGGTTTGAGAAGCCTAGCTTGCCAGACTAAGCAAAACTAGAAGGAAGGCTAGAGGGGAAAAAAGCTGCATATTGCATTATTCCACATTCAGGTCTGAGCAAGCAACAGATGAGGTTTGTAGCTTTTTATTCAGGTTTAATGGCTTTTGCAATGCCACTTTCTCAAAAGTTTATTTTTAACTGCATATCTCATCTGGGGCTTCATTTCTTTTTCTCCAATGACGACATTTCCTTATATTACATACAATGGGTAAAGAGTATGTGTAATACCAGACTGAATGAATATCCACCTTTTCGGAATATTAGGGTTAGGTGTGCTCACCTGAAAGATGACAGCACACATTTTTCTATAGCTTAGGCTGCAGCAATATAGTGCTTTCCATAAACAGAAAAGTAGTGCTTTGCTATGATTCTCTAGTGCCTGACTATTTATTTTTTCAATGAGTCTCTTCCTTTACTTATTCTACCATGCAAATATATGAATTGGGTCAAATTAAATTTGAGAGAGGATTATTGTGAAAGTTAGCATACTAAGATGTTATTAAAGAGCAAAGACTGTTAGTGTTATTTTCCATATGTACTCCCATGAGGTATTTTGTCCTGAGTTTACAGTACATCTCCTGGAATTTGTTTAAAATTGAAATGCATTTTGCCATCCTTAATGACATCCTACATCCTTACACTCAATTTCAAAACTGATTTTTTCTGTAGGTACCTTGTTTTGATGTTATCTCTGGCTTGCATTTTGCCTTTTCCTAAGGCAATTCATTTAAAAGCAGGAAAAAAAATAAATTGTGCCTCGTCATTTTAAGTGATTTATGCATCCTCAGCATTAGTCATTGTAAGTGTTAATAGATAGATAAATACTATGGAAGAATTCTGAGCAACATGTGAATTTTAGCATGGCACTGAGTGTTTCCTGCTAGCTGTGGGATAATCTGACACATCATCTGCAGTGGATTTTTGTGTCTGCCACGGATGTATTGTTTACTGCTGTTTGGAAATGGAAGGAAGGGCATAAACAGGTTTAAAAGCATTACTAAACCCTCCCTACATTTGCAAGGATGGCAGAGAGAGTTTGCTCGCAGTTAAGAGAACTTTCCTGAGGCAATGCTATAATAAAACAAGGTGGCTTGATAGCCTTCATTTAGGAATGCTAAAAATGATAGTTTTTTTTGAAAAAGAAAATCTGTTTGGGTTACAATTCCACGTATGCAAATAGCCAGCTGTGATTTCTGACAATTACAGGCTGTTCTTCAATCTGATTCTTACAAAGATTCCTCTGCACAGCTGTTCCAGGGATTCCCCAGCTGTGGACCCCAGAAAAGGTTTAGAGAATGAGAGTTAGGACTTTCTCCTGAACTGTCCTCACTTACAAGGAAGTAGATAAAAAGATGAAAGGTAGTAAAAATGTCTCTCTGCCACCCAGTGAATGAAAATAGGAGTGATGCTGTAATTTTCAGTGAGAACAGGTCATCTAAGCTCTAAACTTACGTACTGTAGGGAGTTGCAGTGCTGACGTGATTGGAAGGAGGTCATGAACTACTCTGTGCCAGTCACAGCCAGCTCCTCAGGAGCTGCTGATAACAACCTATCGTGGGCCAAAGAACAAGTGCATAGAACACGTAAAATTAAACTCTTATCTTATAAGAAATCATGTCTATTTAGTGGTCTGTTTGTTTTTTAGCATGTGGGTTCATGGCATCTTTGGTTTTTCGTTCTGATGACTGTCATGTTGGTTCATGGCATCTTTGGTTTTTCGTTCTATTTACGCAGCTGTTCCACGCACGAGTGATACGCAGTGTAGTTCAGTGCCGGAGCCGAGGTATGGAAGGAGAATTGGCTCTGAGTTTTCTGCAGGCTCTGTTGTTCGATTTGAATGTAGTCCTGGCTATCTGCTACAAGGATCCAAAGCTATCCGATGTCGCTCTGTGCCGAATGCCTTAGCTCAGTGGAATGACACAGTACCAAGCTGTGTAGGTAAGCAATTGTACCTTCATGAGTCATCTATAGTTTGAAATATAGGGCATTTATATACAGGCAAATATTTGCCTGTGTTGTACAGTATTTGTGGTATCTTTCTGTAACACAGAGAATGATGATATCCTTTTTCAACTAGAGGTGTAATGTACAGTTAATAATGACAGTATGGTTACATATAGCTAATTTGCTTCAGTTTGTCACCAAACATCCAACCAGATAATGTTTAGTACTTTAGGTTTATTTGTAAATGTTCAAAGGTTCTCTTTCCTTCGTCCTTAGATTTATTTCAAAACCTCATTGCTATTCATGGGAATTGACAATATAGCTAGAATCTTCTAAGATTAAATGTAGGTGACCTATTATTCTGTGTAGTTTGTTTTCTGTTTAGTTTGGTTCACCTTTCTTGAACTTTGAAAAAATGAGGATTTATATGGTAAATGTATGTAATGCACTACACTGTTTTACCAGTTCAGTCTAATATTAGAACAATTTTAGACTACAGGTAAATTCACATGATTTTCAGCAGTCATGATCGTGTTTAATATTATGCCATCACAGCTGTTTGTTGTTACTCTTAAGTAGGACATGGTCCTAGACTATGCTGCTAGGGTGTTCTAGCATGAACTTAAAATGGAATTCACTTCTAGGCTGATTATTTATACAGCTTGTATCTTACATTGGGTGTTCTTAAGGTATTTCGGAAAACAGAATTGCTTTCTGAAGTTCAGATAATTGCAAAGAGTCCACTTATGCTACACAGAAAAAAAAAATGTTTCTGTTACAGAAAAGAGTTATGACCATTAGCTTATTAGTAAAAAATATTATTACCTTTCTGTTCTCTAAGTTGTTTCAGGTCTTATAATAATTGATGATAATACTTTATTTTAGTGCCATGTAGTGGGAATTTTACTGAACGAAGAGGGACTATTCTGTCACCAGGTTACCCTGAACCTTATGGTAACAGCTTGAATTGTGTGTGGAAAATCATTGTGACTGAAGGATCAGGTATTCAGGCAAGTCTGTATTCTGTTAAACATTGATTATTAAGTATTTTGTGCTTTAGTTTAATAGTATTTTTTTTCCTCCAGCAGTATGAGGAAAAAGCAGTCAGTTGGGTGTTTTCTTGTCTACTTGAAATTTTTTGTTTTGTTGAAACTCAGTGTTTTTTTTCACTGCTTTATTTATTTATTATGCTTGAGGGCACAAAGGAGAAATAGGTAGCAAGCAACTTTCTCTTTTAACTTTTTAGAATACTATTAACTGATCCTGAGATCTCGAAGGGAAGGGCTCTGGAGCAGACGCTCGTCCCGGAGCTCCTTGTCTAGACGCGAACAACAGAGCGAGAGGCAGCCCCAGCGCCAACCCCCGTGCGGGCAGCGCTGAGCTCCGGCCAGAGGCGGCTCTGACTCAGCGGGGGCGGAGCCGGCAGGGCAGGCGGGAATTCAAAAGCTGCCCCAGCGACCAGGAGCGCGGCGCGGCAGTTAGCGCAGGCAGGGGGCAGGGAGTCTCCCCCCAAGTGTGGAAAAGAATCTTCTCCCCGGACTCTTCCAGCAGCGGGAGATCAAGTAAAGCAATGGTCTCCACTCGGCAAAGAGCTTCCACCAGGAAGGCTGTGGCGACCCAGACTG